GTTTAAGCCTATCTTCATATGTTGCATGAGGGACCAAGTTTCGATATGTCGAATTTATGATAACGCGCCAGCTAATTCATATCAATATTACGTAACTCCTTCGATAAGATATTCATTCTAAAGATAATCTATTGCTATGGAAATTACTGAAATCTGTTCCATACTTAGAATACTTAGACTATATGTTTATATCAATTTAAATTATATCATTTTCTTGACAGTCAAAACAGATTCTTTTTTTTAAATCATGGGAATAGGTTGCCATGGAATTCAATGGAAATTTATTTCACGCCAACAAAATTGCTGCACGAAAATTTAAAAAAAAACTTCTGAAAATTAAAATAAAATAATTTGTCGAAATTAATTTGATTCGAATTTCCATTAACAAAACTAATTTTGGGAAGCTCGTTTCGAAATATAAAATAAATAATTAATAAAAATAAAATAAAGATAAAAGTTATTCGATAAATTTTTTTGGCAGTTTCTTTGATTTACTTAATACAAAATTATTGAACTGGCAAATATCAAACCGTTTGAATTTTCCAATATTTCTGAAATTAATCCAGTTAAATCCAAAATTCCTTCAAAGAACTTCTCCATTGTTTTTCATTAAATACATTCTTCTTCTCCTAACAGTTCTCACCATTACCGGTTAGAATTGCTTCGCTGGTAAGACGTCTCCAAGCTGCTCGGTCTCGTGCCATCGCTAGAACCATTTCATTTTCCATCGTGTAAGTCCGTATATTTCTGGTCCACCTATATATTCAAAATCTTTACTGGCTGTATCAGTTCAGATTTTGACTGGCTCTTGAAGCTAACCATCACATGGTTTAGCAAGAAAATATGCGACAATCTCTGTAGTGGACGACGGAGAACGTGCCCTTATCAGCGAAGGCGACGCTCTGTGATAATAATAATATTATCATTAATGCAAGTGGTATTTGAACGAAGATGGTGCGATCATGTGATATCGTATCCACTCGACTAATCTGTAAAATATATCTTAGACATGACTGGTCAAAGGCTGATAGCTCCTCAATATCTTCCACTTTCATTGGCCATGTTTTGCAGCCATAGTATGATCGAGCGAATATTCCAGCTATATGGATGCGGATTTTCATCTTAATGGTGATTTCGCGACGGTTTCATAAAAGTCTCCTCAACCAGAAAAATATATTTCTAGATATCGTTATCCAGTTATCCAGTTTACAATTTCATTCTTTGGATGATCATTTGGAATTGGAGTGGATCCAAAGTATTTGAAGTCAAGTATTCTTCAACCGGCAATGAATTGATGAAAATATGTATTTTATCAGCATTGTATTGTATATAAGACGAAAAGTCTTTCATTTTATTTGCATTGATCCTTAGTCCGATTCTTGCTGCATTTGCTAACACGTCATTTAGCATTATTTACTTTCATTATAACTGTCAGCAAAAAAGACTACATTATCAGCATATTCAAGGTCTGTGATACTATGCTCTGGACTGATTTTCACATCTCTTGAATACCGACAAGTGATGCCCATTATAGTCTATCGCGCAATTGAATATTGTAGGGGAAAGGACGGACATGCGTTCTTATTTCGAAGAAATCTGACCGTTTTCTATATTCAGACATGTACCAGGGTATGTCTTTATGAACCGAATGATCTTCCTGTCACATTTCATCAATTTCCAGAATGCTGCTCTATAATTTTATATAATGCTATTAAATATTTACTAATTACGGTATATGTATGCATTTCATGACTGTTGTTGTTTAGATTTATATTTTTGATGATATTGAAAAATTTATTTCTTGAGCGGTCATTTCTATTGTGTTTTTTCTGGAAATTTAAAATTTTTTGCAGTCGAACTAAGTTCTTTTGAATTTTAAAACAAAAGATTAAAAATAAATTAAAAATTAAATTATATATATACATAATGAGCACAAAGACTAGCATAGGACCAGACTAATCTTAATAGGCGTGCGAAAAGCCGATTCTTTCGGTGTTTCTGATGGTCGTCATTGGGCAACATACATAAAATTTCAGCGAAATAGAAATAACAAATAACTATATAAACTATATAAAAAGTAGATTAATTTAATTTCATTTTTTTAGAGAAGTTTTGCTTTTTTTCAATCATTTTCTGTTTGCTTTCCCTTTTATTTTTTTCTTTCTTAATCTTATTTCCTGTACATAAATCTGGGAATAAGCTCGAGTGGCTGTTAGCATAGATTTATAACTATTACGTGGTTCTGTGATGGAAGGATCTATTCTAATGAAACCTGCCAAGGAAAATCTCGTTATGCACACACGGCAATATATTAGCAGCTTTGAATGCTTATAGAAGTTACAAGCCACTGTCCACACTCACTTTAAATATCGTGTGGATTTCGCCTACTTGTCGGAGATGAAATAAATGGCTCTGAGCAGAGATGTTTGCTATATCATTGTTTTCTATAACTCCTATAACTCAAATATATCCGTTTTAATTGAGAGAACCCAGTAAACGACCTATATCCGCTTCAAAGGAAAGTTCTGCAACATTTCCTAGTTTATATGCTCCAACCTTGTGCGCAGATGATTTTGACAACGATGATTTCTGTGTAGAACTCCAACTATTTCACCAACACCGCCACTGAAATATGAATAGGCCACGATAAACTCTGTAACTGGCATATATGGGATGGGGATCCGATGCACCAATGGAAAAGCCTTCGCTTTGCAAAAGAGTATGAACTTTTTGTTATTAATGATATTAATAACTCCGATGAAGATAAACTGTAATGAAACTCTTGGGTAATCAACATTTGTCAATAAACTATTTATAAAATGAGAAGCTTTTCATTAAAATATTTCATTGCACTATGCAGTAGTTTTATGGACCTTTGTGAAATCACCATCAAAACGATAGTCCACATCTCCACGTAGCTGAAATTCACTCGATTTTCTTATCTGTAAGATATTGAGTGGAGGATATTAAGAAGTTATTTAGCTTTAGACACTCTACGATATATTCTAAAGGCTCTATGTATTCTATAAAGAAATAGATACCTCATGATTTCATCCACTTTCGCTTAAATCCGCCTACATAAACAGTACCATGAGAAAACCTTCATTGGTTAGAGCACGTTGCCCATTACAGGAGTTATCACGCATTTTATTATTCACTAAACCCTATAATGGATTGTCAAAAATGAGAAAGGCCAATCAAAACTTGGACTGCCATAATCAGGAAACATTTTGAATGTTTTGATGGACGTAAGTTATATGGACATGGAGATATTAGACAAAGAATAGCTTTTTGGAGATGGCTTATTGTAGCCAGCGGAGCCAGAATAACCCAAAATGGTACGAGCTGTTAAAAGCTGTTAAAATATCGATCTAATATATATATATATATATATAAAATGAAATAAACAAAAACTAGCGATATAAGGGGGAATACTATAAATAAAGGGGAAATTACAAAAGAACAAAAGAACCCAAAGCGAATTGATTTGAATTACTGGCACATAATAGCATGTTGAAAGATCAAGATTTCAAACTTCATTGGCTTTTGAATAATCACTGATAATATTATTTATAATTTTTTTTATGGATGGTGGACAAATTACGTCGTTTGGGAATTATTTATTTCAGTAATTTGAATTGTGGGAATGGTAAAATCATTCGTTCTTAGTCCAATTTTAGACTTTTGTATTTTAGGTTTTAATAATTTTAGCCCATTAGATCTAATTGGATTTAAATTTAACTTAAAAATTATACTATTTGGAATAATAATTTTAGCCATGTAAAATTATCTAAAAATTATGTAATAAATAATTCAAAAAGTAACTGAAATGTGAAATTTATCTGTGAAATACTTGTGAAATTTATCTGTAAAACTAATCTACGCTTGCATAATCACATCAGTTGCTGACTTTCTCTTCATCTAATAACTCTCACCATTACTGGTTAGGCTAGCTCCATTGGCTTCCAAGCGGCGTAGCCTGATGCCATCGGTGACAGTAATAGAAGCTATTCTTTTTTCCATCTTCTTAGTCCATATATTCGCTTATCAGTTACCGATTTATTGATGTATTTATGTATATATATATATATGTTTTAACCTTAAAATCTTATTTATTCCAATATATTTTGTCCATTTAATCATTATATACTACGTTTTATTGTTCTCCGATTGCTGTGTTGTTTTCTTTTTATTTGCTGTTTTGGCGACTCTTGTTCAGCTGCCAATTGTCTAATTGTTGGTTTCGCCGGCCATTTTTTTTTCTCCTTTTTGGGTTCGTATTATATTCTTATATATTCGTTGTGCACCTTTTTATATTTTATGCCAGTTCATGGCCGCTTTCTAAATGAACATTTACGATGCTTTTTTTTTCATATTCTTTTTAAATGTACCCATGAGAAATCGTTTTAAAATACATCGCTAGTTGACTTTTAAATTCAATTTATAATGCTCAAAATCGTAAGACTACCGAAAGGTTCAAAAAATTATTAGAAAATTCGTCAGCGGGGTAAAATTTTGTCTGCGACTATCTTTGAATATTATAAATTAAAATAATCGCAGTGGCAAGATACCACGCTGATCGGAAATAAAACAAAATCAAAAAAATTTCTTTTTAAAAAGTGTTCGAAATTAAGAGTGAAACGAAATAATAAGCTCACCAGCTATTTATCAAAATCTTCGGCTATCTTAAGACGATTCCAACTTTTATGAAATTTCTTATGATATCTTAACAGATGGTACTTAGATAAATAGGATTCAGTTCAATCTTAAGGGCGAAGGCTTTTAATATATTCACTTATATTTCCTTTATTTATGAAAATTTCATAGATATAAATGTAAAATAAAACTATATAAGTATAAAAGTATAAGAAACTTCTATTTCTCAGAAATATGCCTAGCTAGCAAAAATAATTGAGAAATCATCTGAAATATATCCTATCAGTCATATCTTTTCCCTATTTCGTAAGATATTATTCAACTAAACTATCATTATGGTTCCCTCAAATTCTTATCGTAAAAAGCACGACAAATTGTATAAAAACAAAAGCAAATTGCATTGATGGCATTTTTTTAATGGTTCCATTCTCGTCACTTGGTTCCAATACCAGTGCAGTACCAGTAGTTCCTTCCATGATTGAATTTTCGATTATTTTAGGTTTTTCGGAGTTCATCTAAAAAAAGAAGAAAAAACATGAACATGTTTTGTTTTTTAATTTCAGACTTATGGAATACAGTTCGAACGATTAACGAGGACGGTGGATGTGGATAAAATAATTTTACCATATTGTTAAAAATACCTTCAAGCACAGTTGGACTGTTTTCCTTAAAATTTTACAGAGTTCATCATCATTTTCATTGCATGTGCAACTTGATAAAGCTGTTCCATGAAAGGTTTCTATGGTATCATTTAGTCGATCAGAGCAACGTTTATTGCATCGACCATTTTCTGCTTCGGCTTCACATTCCGACATGAATATTCCCCATTTTGCATTACACTTAAAAAATTTTGATAAGATAAAATAAAAAATTCGACTAGTAGCCAAATACTTATGCAGTATCTTCTTATGCTAAATTCAATTTAAACAATTTGCAAAAATTTCAAATTTAAATCGAGATTTAACCTGCTGGACATTTCATAGTTCATAGTTCTTTAAATTGATAGGTTGATAAGTAACTTACTTGTAAGTCGGCCTCGCAAATAAGTTTTGTCAAACTACAGTAAGTTGGCATTTTATTCGGCAATAAATTGCATAACTCTAATTCATGTCGTGCTGGTAGACAAGATACATCAGTTCGCAATAACGTACGGCCAAGTCTGTTCTGATACAAGTTCAAAACTGCGTTTCGGCATTGGGGTTGACATGTATTCGTGATGCTAGAAATTTTTGTTATAGAATAAATGATAGGTGTAAAAAATAATTCAAAAAACTGCAAAACTGCAAATACATAATATCCATATCGAATAGAATGCTACTCGATTGGGAGCACGGTGCTGAGGTTCGATTCCTTGCAGGAGTCAACCGGTATAAAAATGCGGGTGATGCTGGCGATCCACTTGTATTTCAAGGGATTCCCTGGCATATCGCTCAATGTGACAAGTCAGTGGAACGAGTAATAGTGAGGACTCCTTAAAAAAAAATATCGAATAGAATAAGACGTTCTGCCCCTGTTTTTCAACAAATAATATGGGGCAGATTCGTGTCATTTTTGCTGCATGAATAGACCTGCCAATAAAAATGAAACTGAATGGAGGGCCACCAACACTTCTAAACTAAACGAAAGATTATTATTATCAACCAATTTAGAAATGGTGGACAAGGCAAATAGGTGAAGCAAGCACAAAAAGTGTGGCTTAGGAAGATTATTTTAAAACTGAAGAATGAAGACGAATTTCTTTCAAACCTTTTGATGACCATATGCAATTATTTTTCTAAGAACTATTATTTATTTTTTTATTATTTTTTATTTATTATTTATTTATTTTTTTTTACTATTTTTGATTAAGCTCGTTTCGCTGGCTTGTCCGACCAGAAAAATTTCATCAGGAAAAATTACCATTTGATGATAAAATAGGTCACCTGTGCTACTCGAATTCTTAAAAGGTAAATGAATTCCTAGCGGGAAATAGAACCCTACTATTGGCTTTTCTAGCATAAATCCATTTTACCTAAATATACAATTGATGATTGAAACCGATTAACAGCCAAATAACTAATCTCCAATAATAAGACAGTAATTTTGTTCTTAATTATGATTCGGATGGTTCAGCAAATTTTATCAAAACTCTTTTTATCTACTATTACTTAATTCATGCAATCTTAATTGAAAATTTACCGTATTTCGTTCACGATTATTTTAATTGAATCAAAATCACCGTTCAAATTTGGCGTTATTTTACTATAGAAATTTTTGTTCTAAAAGCGCTCACTAGTTAAACTCGTTTCGTTGCTAATCGGACAAGTTTTGCCAGAGAATCATTTAGCGATGTGAGATCGGATTTTCGATAGACGAGAATCCGAAATGACAATGACAATCCCACTGAGCCCCACTGAATTTAACTCTATGCGTAATATAAATAAATTCTGATTGGTCCAAGAACTGCGAAACAGATTTTTTAAAATTTTAGACTTCTTCTGACAAAAGCTCTTCAAAAAAAAGACGAAATAATCTTAGAGAGAAATTTATCGTTACTCTACAAAGTTGCTTTATCCGGTTCAAACCGGTTCACACAAAGATTTCGATTTTCAACAAACAATTGATCATTTCACTTATTTGTTTTGTTATTTAAAAAGAAATCGGTATCGTGAGAAATAAATTCATCACTTAAAACTGTATAAATATTACTTATTTTTGTTTTAATTTAATAATAAAACAATGGAAAAGTTTTGATTACAATAACAGTTGTTATCTTCACTCATAGCACTTTCACTTTCATACATAAATTTTGAATAGAATATAAAATAAAAAAATTGCAAAATGGGATGTGGTGAATTTCCGATTAATTGGCGGATTTAGCTATATTTTAGCTTCAACAGAGCACGAGCAAAATCCTGATCTACTAATGAGCTGCATCATTATCATTTATCACTTATCATTACATTAAAAGTAATGCTTGCATTTGGCAATTACTGACGGTCCACTAGGCCCATTCTTGAATAATTCTTTGGCGAAAGAATTAATCCTTTAAATGTTATTTTCTTGGTGTGAGTGGGGGGTCAGCCAAACCAAAAAATTGAAATACTATCAGAAATGACGATGCTACAGCATATTTGTGGATTAAATTAAAGTATAATAATTCAACTACGGAAGATACGGAAATCACCATCGCCTGCGGTTAAATATCGCAAACTCCAAATTTATATATCCATCATATTTATTTTTTTGAATGGTTTTCAAATGCTATAAGATACGAATAAATGAAATACCATGAAATTATGAAATCTCATGAAATGTCATGAAATTGGAAAATATGGGAAAGTGTTCAACTAATATTTCTTTTTCTAAGAATGCTTAACATTTCTGGCTAAATTTTGTTTCTCGTTGGATTCGACAAATTCTACCAGTGAATCACTTGTTGATAGAAGTACAGATAAGTCATGAGTTATTGTCTGGAATCATTCGGAAATCCGTATTTTTGAAAAACAGATTTATTCCGGTGGTGGAAGCCCAACATCAGTCGCTCCAAAATAAGGCCAATAACCCACTTGGCCATTTTAACTCGTTTTGGCACAAAAATCGAATAATATATAAATTTATGCAATTAATTAAATTTCGATTAGAGTATTTCAAAAGAATTATGTTCGGAATGAATTATTATCGGAAATAATAAAGGTCATCCATCCATCTGTGAAAAACGTTCCGATTACGAGAGTTGTTCACTGAAACGCCAGCGCTGTTTACAACCGTTTATCGGACGATATAACCACATTATTGTATAGTATTTTTGTTTGCATATCAAATTTTGATATGATTGAATAAACATTAACGACGACTATAGTGATTATAATAATAATCACTGATATGAGAATATTTAGAAATATTAGAAAAGATTTTAGATTTTTAAATATTAAAATTGAGGAATTTCGTTGAGAATTTTTTTAAATCGAACCAACCACTTCACTTCATATTTTGCCAAAAAATTAAAAAAAAAGTCTCATTTGATTTATTTGCTTTAAATTATCAAATCTTTTTATTGTACGGAAATTTAATTGGCATATTTCAAATCGAACCCCTTTAATATGCCAGGAAAAATAAAGAAAAGCCTTATTCCAGTTCGAATTTCTTCCAAGTCGCTCGCATGATTCCTATTTAAGAAATAAACTGCAATCTAAATTTAGTCTTAATTTAGGATAATTCAATGAGTCGCCAGAGAACTGTGTAATAATTATGGAATTGGCTAAAATCTTATAGAAAAACATTGGTGGAGTTTGGAAAACATTAGTAAATACGCACATTCTCTGCTCTAAATTTTTTAAACACAAATTTTTTTTAGAGCAGTAATTTGCATGTGAATACAAAAACCATGCAAAATGAAAAATTGAGAAAAACACCAACCACGTTGATTGAAGAACGGCAAGCCTATGAACACAATCCGTGTCTTCTTCGCAAGCGCTAGTTGCGGTTTTGCACTGCTCAGACTGTACAGGTATTTCTGCCGATACGGTACTTGATAATACAGCTGTGAGGAGAAATATTAGGCACATCGATACGACAAATGTGAAAATATTAGGATGAGGTAATTGTTCTTCGAAAATTGAGCGAACAACTCGGTTAGACGGACTTAAATATACGATTGTTTATATTTACTTTTAAAAAGAAATGAAGTGACTTAGTCGGTTGATGTTGATCAAAGTTATCAACGTTGCGCTGAACATAAGAAGAGAACGACGACCAACTAACGAACTCGGTTTCACAGTTATGATGAAAAATTTCTGTACGACGTAATTACCATTTGGTGCAGTCTAAATCGATTCGGTTCGAAGACCATCGTAAACGATTTCGCTCATTTAATAATAATGACTTAATAGTGACCACCTCTCCACCCATAAATTTTACGAACCGAATCTATAGTCATTATTTTTCTGGAACGAGGGTAACTATAACTACAGAGACCACCGTATTTATAAAATAGTAGCTGATAATTCACTTTCAAATATGACTGTGTTACCTTCGTTGAAACTTCCTTCCTGCACTCAATTTTTACCATTTGAGAGAATGACCAGGCCTATTGTCAAAGTGAAAAGTCCCCCGTTCATTTCTGTCCTCAAACAATGACTCATTAACGAAAGCAATACCAAAATCTCATGATAACAACCCACAACCCACAGATATAATATGGACTATAAGAATGATAAAGATTATAGGCCGTTACTGAATTATTTTAGGTCTGGCCTCAAAAAAAAGGATTTAAAATCACCTGCTTTTTTATTCAACTTATACAATCCAAATTTAAGAACTTTGAACTGTGGAACATATAAAATAAGATCGTTTATTATCGTAAAAAAAAAAATTTTTTTGAGCAAACAATCATAACAACAATAATGATGCGCTTATCAACAAAAACAGAGAAATCAAACAGAGAGAATAACCCTTATACACCGAGAAAAAAATAGTAAATTTTTTCCATCAATTCAATTCATGCAAAAACAATGCAACTGAAATTTCCGAATAGGAGAACTAAAGAAAATAGAAAGAAAAATTGTGGAAAAATTTTGCGAATTCAATTCTTTACTATAAATCATTTCCGTTTATATTTCATATTTAGTGAATTTCAAGTGGAAACGATTTTCAAGAAAGCGCCTTTAAAATTAACAACATAATCGGACCACTTATTATATAAAAGTCATTGACACGTTTGAATACCTCTACAACAATAAAAGAATAAATAAAAATGACCAACGTTCGTTTGGATTTACAAAACTAACTGGTAAAAATCCTAAACGTTCTTATTCAACGTTCTTAAAATATACTCCAAATAGACAAAATAAATGGTTGTTTCAACCGGCCTTAAAAGCATTTATTTGCCATAGGATGCATTATTTACAAGTTCCATAAATGTGAATGCAGCGATGCTCTTGATTAGACCGTTCAACTGTCGTTGCAAACTAGCATCTAGCCCATAAGAATTTGCTAGCTCAATTTCCTGAAAATTATATACCATTAGTTTTTGAAATTTATCATACCAAAACGAATATAAAAAATGATGAAAACCAAAATCAGACCATTTGTTATACAAAAGTTATTGATACCTCTAAAAGAACAAAAAAATAAATGACCAATTTGCTATCCCTCTGGTTTTTAAAATGCAAATTATTCGTCAGAGTGATACCTTAAATAAGACTCGCATTTCCAACCGTTCTTTTCCAAACGACGAAAATAGAAAAACGATCTGTAGCGGATTAACTGTAAGAACCAAGAAATGCTGAAAAAATCACGACCGGAAATACAATAAAATCTTTTCTCTCTAAAAACAATTCTATTTTACTAAATATAATTCCAATTAGCAGGGAACGGTGCGAAAAACAACACTATAAAAAACAATTATTTTGATGGAATTGCCAAAAAATTTAAAAAAAAAACTAAATTAAAACCATTCACAATGAAAAAGAAGAGAATACATCATAGATCAGCGAAACAAAGCAAAAGCGGAACTATTCATATAAGCCTCGTGAAGATGAAGATTCTATCAAAATTAACGAAAAAAATTGCAAACAATATTTCTGTTAACTATAGATGTTAAGAAAGTAATTCGAATTGCAAATAGTTCGATTCGAAAAATTTTTCATTTAAATAAAATGAAAAATTTATGAAAAAGCTTATTGTTACTGACACTGACACTAACAAAACTCAAAAAAATACCTAAATTGCTCATTCTTATCATTCGCTTATCATTAATCCAAAAGAAAAAAAAAAGAATTAAAACTCACTTTCTTCAGCGGAGAATAAAAATATCTGCAGTTCTTCTCGCCAAAATGTAAGCAGAGGTATTTGAAGAAAGAATCAACATTTATATCAGATGTTAAAGCATCAATCATCGGTTCATAATCGATGATGGATATCACTTTAACGTAACTCAGTAATTTATCGATATCGTTAACAGTCAAATTCGAAGAGATAATTGAGCGAAGAGCAAATGATGCTTCAGCGTTATTTTCGAAAATTTTCCTTGGTCCAGCTAGTGGTTCTACTTTCTGTTTTGATGGCCATTCAATCATATTTCGCCACAACTACAATCATTGAAAGAAAGAGCTTAAAGAAGATTAAAGGGAATGAATAATATGAAGAAATATTAACTAATATTTGAAATTGTACAAATCCTAATTTATTAATTACTATTTATAATTAAATTACTACTGATTGCCCCTTTGAAATAAATCATTTTTTTAGACTTAAGAAAAATGTACTTCATCCCTCAAGCAATGCCAAGATGCATCTTCAACCAATTTTTGAAGCCTTCTTTTGTAATGCAAAACGCTATCTTCTAATTCTTCTTGAAGTTTTTTCTGCCGTTCGCTCAGAAAGTGAACATAGATAACTTGTTCTTTTGGAAGTAAGATATTCGTATCAACTGGAATTTTTGACCCTGAAATGTCCTTTTTCACTGTCTCAGATTGGCAAAAAAAGAGTTATTAGCTTTCTCACTCCTAATAAACAACGAATTTCAACTACCCAAGGCAATAGCCCTTAATGAGCTATTAAGTACAGAGACTCGCTAGCATAACCTGGATTTTTGAAGGTTTGTTGCCGGGAATAGAACTCCAACATTGGCGCTCAACAATCCACTAAACCATTCTCCTAATTTTCTCAACAAATATTAAAAAAATTTAAAGTAAAAGCAAAAGTTATTATCATTTTAACAAGAATCACCATGTCGTTTACATAATACTTTTCGATGTCTACGTGGAGCATTATATTGAATTGAAAGTCGGCAACACTCCCCACTAAAAAGAGGCAAATACTCCGATGCTATAGGTGTTTCTGAAAAAGACCAATTAAAAAAGGAAGATGCGAATTAATTTAAAAATATATTTTCAATACTATTTTTATATTCTATTTTCTAGGGCACCAAATGAACAACATAAATCTAATACAATCAAGAATAAGGTCAAGTTTATGCTTCGCCAAAAGCAGAGATCCTTGATATCTTACATCAGAGACCACTGAGATGGGACGTTCTATTTCTATCTACGAGTAATCTTCTGATAAAAAAACTCTCTATAGTAGTCGGCTTCATCAGGCAAATAGAAGCGCATTAAAAGAGTCAAGTGTCCAATTTCACATTTTTTTCGTTTTTTCTCGTTTAAATCTCTATAAAGCCTCTTTAAAATCTCTATAAATACAGAAGACAAGAAATTTTACCATTCGATAATCGCCTATTGAATTCTAAAGCAGATACAACAGAACTGCTTCCCCCGCTACGATAACGCCTTCTTTCACATTTTTCATAGGCTATTGATTCCGAATCAGTGCTGAATGCAACAAATTCTGTTCAGTCAAAAAAATAAAAATAATAAAAAAGATCTTTCATTTCTTAACTTTATTCGAAAATAATTTTCATCAATTTGCATTTTTTAAGGTAATTTTTAAATTATTTTTGAATGATTAAAATTGGAAATTAAAAACAATAAGTTTAACAAACTCGAGTTGGGAAACGCTACTTTCCTCGTTTTCCGTGCTTCCATTGAGTCCTTCTAATTCTTTAAATTCACCACAATCCAAATTTTGCGAATCGTAATCGAGATTTTCAATGAAAGGATCAGCTGCAAATATTCAATTGTAATTAACGAATTTTGAAATATAATAATAAAAATATAATAATAATAAAATTAAAGTTGCAATTATAAACCGTAGCCAAAAAAATACTTCTTTCATGAGAAACTAAAATCACGTAGAATTTGAGCGTTAGACAAGATTTTTCACTAGATGCTCGACTTTCACGAAGAATTCCACGAACTTCACAATAATTTAGAGCAAACAGTTCCTAAAATATTATCAAAAACATCAAAATAGGAATTACAAATAGCTATTAATGTAACGCAAAAAATTTTTGCATTATAAAAAGCGATTAAATATTGCAACCTTTTGTTCTTCTGAAACTAGCATATAACGATCAGAATCTATAACATCTTTATTACGATCATCTCGCAACTCGACAACTCGCCATTCGCCATTCTTCTCGGAAAGAAAGTGCTCCCAAACAAGATCACTGTCAACTTCTAAGCCAGAGTATTCAACCTGAAATACAAGCAATAAAAGAGAAAATGAAGACCTTCATTCATAAACTGACAAAAAAATGAAAAAAACGATTCAAAATACAAGAAAACTTCAAGAGTGAAATTCATTTTTCTCTGAAAACTTTGCTCATTTTGTTAATTGAAAATCATCGGAATTTCAAATTAAAATCTCATAATGGAAAATTTTACGTTATAGCGGAAGTATATTCTTTTATCATACCTCATGTCTACACCTTTTTTATTCCTTGCACCCACCGACCAAAGCCTTTTTCTGCTTCCCCCAATTATTTTTTTCAGCTTAAGAAATTTTAAATTGAATATAAAAGATCTACTACTGGGCAGAATGACGCTTTTTCTTTACGATTTGATTACAACTTTGTATCATTCAACCACAATTTTCTGAACAGATTAAAGCTGAATCTAAAGATCTATTAATGTGGACCTAATCATCGTTCAAGTCCAGATTTTCATTATATAATTGTTTTTTATCGAACCATGTTCAACTGCAGTTGATGATCATTAAATTTCTAAGGCTTCTAATTTATCGCAATGGCTAATAAACAATTATTTTTCTCTAAATAATAGTTACTACCGAAAAAAAGGCACACCTTTTCTTCGTATATACAGTTACGAGTATAAGGAGGTCGACAACCGTAATATTGCAGGAAATCGATTAAAAAAGCATTCGTATTGTATCCACGGTCAAACAACACCTATTAAAGATTGATTAATTGATTGATTGACTGATAATACTAGAATCCAGATTTATTGAAAAAATCAATAGAAGATATTACCTGGTGCCCACCAACTAAATATGTTGCAACCATGCGCAGATGAAAGTCGTAGGTGAATGAATGAAAGTGACATTTGAGTACAATGTCATTTTTTAGAGCTTCAAGTTCACCCTCATACTTATCATAAAACTGAGTATCAATTTCAAAGTTTAAAATATTATAAGACTGCACACAACTCCACATAAGAACTCGTAAACTGTAATTTAAAACCATGTAATGAAAGAATAAAAACAAACTCGTTTACATATAATATAACATTATGAAATGATATTCAAATGGTATTCACATAAATCTAATCATGAAATTACAGAATTTTCAAAGAACGATTATATATTAAAAAAAAAAAAACTTAATATTAAATCATGAAATTACAGAATTTTCAAAGAACGATTATATATTTAAAAAAAAAAAACTTAATATTAAAAAAACTTGGTAAAGAGAAAAAACCACCTGAAATATGCATCAACGAATGTCAAATTAACGAAGATAATACCACAAGTGGAAACTTTAGCCATCCAAATTTCAGGAGGTGATTTCGTGGACTGAAAGACAATAATTTGAGTTTTTTTACAACTGAAACAAAATCTACTTACTTGTGTATCGAAATTCAGTGAATAACGGTTTCCTTTACCCTTTGATTGCTCGATGTCAGTAACATCCAAAAGGACAAGTCCCAACTTCAAAGCGTATGCAACATAGCTCTAAAAAAATTCCGAAGCGAATTTTTTCAATATCTCTAATATATAGGATACACTGAAATATAATTAAAACAGAAAACCTGAACGAGCATAAACTGAATTTTTAGAAAACATGGATCATTTTTTTCTGCTCTTCGATATGTATATACCACTTGATTAGCTTGAGATCCATCATGCAAAACCGATAGTGTATTCGAACGAATCTGGATGAACTTTTTGTGAAATCACAAAAACTTATCAGAAAATGAATAAATAAATTTCAGAAAAAATTGAATGAGACAAGAATCTATTACCTTCATGGCTTTAAATGGTACTTCATGCCGCGAGAGTCTAGACCCACTCGCTCTTCTAGAAGAAACACCTTGCGGAAGCAGTGGTTGAAATAGGCTAAAATGAAATATTTTTCGGAAATATATAAAGAAATAAAAGAATATGTGATTAAAAAAACGATGTAAAATAGTAACATTTACATAGTAAGTCATAGTAAACAATGCAGAAAAGCAAAAAATTAATGCAATTTTTCAAACTTACTTCGCATAATCATCTGTCCCTCTTCTAATTTCGGCGATTTTTTTTCTCCAGGCCGGAAAAAAAAGAAGTGGTGATCGAACAAAGTGTACCTCACGGCTATGTGATGTTATTTGTAGAAGATCAGCTTCGGAAATTTTCACATTATCGCTTAATAATGACTGATGAATTCGACGAAATTGAAGTTTATCACGAAAAATCGCTCGAATCTGAAAATTTTAAAGTAATGACATATTACAATCAAATATTAAAAAATAAGGAATATGTTTCCTTTTCCTGAAACAGAATTTTTTCTGCAAAAGTTTATAACTTGATTTCTATACATTTCTATATATGTTAATTCAGTGATATATTGTTTCATCAGAACATAAACCTGATTCTTTTGACGCTAATTGAACATTAAAAGTGAGATAGGCATCCATCTGTAGAAAAGGTAGAAAAGGCACACTATCTTCATGCAGTTTCATGGAGTCAATAAAGCTTGACAGCCAAAGCAGCTAGTCAAAAATGGTGCTTATTCTTCTTCTAACAGCTCTCACCATTACTGGTTAGGCTGGCTCCAACGGCTACAAGGGTAAGACGCGGTCTGATGCCATCGTCGACAGTAATGGAAGCCATTCCTTTTTCCATCGTCTAAGTCCATATATTGCTGGTCCACCTATACGTTCAAAATCTTTTCTCACCGTATCAGTCCAGGTCTTGATTGGCCCACCTCGCTTTTGATGCCAACCGTTACACGGTCCAAATAAAGAAATATGCGTCAACTCGTGTGGTGGACGACGGAGAATGTGCCCTAACCAGCGAAGGCGGCGTTCAGTGATAACATTATTTATGCAAATGGTATTTGAACGAAGGTGGATGCGATGGAATGAGATTTTATCCACTCAGCGAACCCGTAATATGTACCTTAGACAAGAGTGGTCAAAGGCAGATAACTTCTTAATATCCTCCACTCTCATTGGCCATGTCTCAGAACCATACAATAAGATCGAACGGATCACGGCAATATAGATGCGAACTTTCGTTTTTATGGTGATTTCACGATGATTCCATAAAGATTTCGTCAATCGGAAGAACGCATTTCTAGCTGCCGTAATCCGAGTTATAATATCATCTTTTGCCTGTCCATTTGGTATTAGAGTGGACCCAAGGTATTTGAAATCAGGTACTTCCTCAACCGGCAATGAATTTACAAAAAGAGGCTTTTTGTAAATCCAAGAGATGTACTCTTTCTAATAATATGCTTATTCTATACTTCAATAAAAATTTAAGAACTTTTGAGTTTTGATGAAAATATTTAATGGCTCCTAAAAGAAAAGAACTTTACCCTCGTATCAAGTATACACATTTGTTGGCTTTGATTTTCGAAGAATGTCGTCACCAGATTCATAGCCAAAAAGGCTGTGTCGGAATGCCGATAAAGCTTCATACGCACACGAGTTTCTTCTGCTGTTGAATCGCGATTTTGCGCAAGGCTACAATTTAAAAAATAAATACCAATGAGGGAATATTTATTATTTATTATATATACATTATTTACATAAAATAAGCAAACCTTTCATCGAACTGTGCCAGACCATCCTCCGGTACTTTATCTTTCGCAAGAAGCTCAGCATTTAACCATACTAATCCTTTGTCGTTCGGTAAAACATAACCACCAAGATGAGTAATGCCCATTTTATGCAGTCCAATTTCACGTAATAATCGTGATTTCGCATTGTGCCATGCAGCTGCGGATGCGACTAATTTGTAAATCTGCTCGCTTGACTCAGCCGAATAATTATATAAATACAAACAAGCCTGAAAAAGTGTGATTCTGGTATTATTTGCACTGGTATTATTATCACTTAACGTACCAGTCACACCAAAAAATATCAATAAGAAAATTAAATTTCATAATCGAATTAATAGATTCTCAATTGAAACAAACGAAAAAAATATAGTAAAAACTCGAAAATTTTATAAAAAAATCGAGTAATTTCAAAATAATAAAAAAACTAACAACAGCACCACGAGCAATAAAAAACACCATTCGTTGACGTGGCACAAAAGGAAAGATTTGTGGTAAAAAGCGCGAAAAGTTATCTGCAATTTATTCGATAATATAAGATAGAAAATTGTAAATAAAATAGCAGAATATTAAATAATAACAGATTATTTTAATTTCAAAATAAAATCTTAACACTTAATAAAAGTAAATAAGCCATACTTTTATTACATAAAAAATCATCCAAAAAAGGTGATGAAGCTCCATTTTCCTCTAATTTCGAAAAATAATCCATATAATACTGATTATAACCCAAAATGATGTATTGAATTTCTTCACCATCAATACTTACAATTCGCCCGTCGTCACTCTAAAAGAATGGTACTTTTAAAGAAATTTTCAAAAAAGAACTAAAAAATAAGAATTTAGAAAAAATTAAAATGACATAAAAACGATACATTGCGTAAGCTGTCAGGTCCAATAAATGGATCTTCTAAGGAAACAAAACGATATTTTTTTTGCACATCTCCTTCTAACCGAAAAATTACGATCTTTTCGTTTTTTAATATCTGATTCAACTTATTGCCAACGTCCTTGAAAATCTATAAAAATGATTATATATAAAAACAAGACAAACTTTAAAATAAATATCTTTCAGCGATAACAATAAGGAAAATAAAATAAACAAATTATATATACATTATATATATATATATATATATAGTTTTATTTGTTTTATTCTTTCACTTGGTACATAATATTATATATATGTACCAAGTGAAAGAATAAAACAAAATAATAAAATAATAAAACCTTGCAAGTAGATGGGTCGCTGTCAAGATGGAATAGGTGCTTTTTCACTGAGAATTGCTGTTCACCAGTTTTCACCTCAGAAACAACATAATCAAACCATTTAGAGGCTACTGTAACGAACTGTGAATTAAGAATGCCATTTTGCTCAGATATTTCGTGCTTCGTGGGAATAGTGAGCGAAAGAATCGAGTTGTGATCTAAAAATGGACTCAATAATATGAATAAAAATTAACAAACAATAAAAAAAGAGAAATATCAATTTAGATCAATAACTTCCAAAGCAATCATATTTAAAACAAGGAGAAAACCAGATTATAAGCAAATAGTAGTTTTCAAGCAATAGAATAATAAATAATTAATAAATTATACCAAGCAACGAAAAAAAATTGAAAAATTAAAATTAAAAAATTACAATATATACCACTGGATAAAATTTTGGATTGCTGAGGAAATGAAACTGAATCCTTTTTTGGATCATCAAAACTAAACATTGTTGATGATAATGGCCTAAGTCGATTGGCTGATAATGGCTCACGAATTGTAAGCACTAAATCCACAGTAGGACTTGTAGTTATTTGCACAGAATGAGAATTAATAACTGGAGAAGTAGGAGGAGCATCACCAGATGAGCGGCATCTGAATTTTTTTAACTCATTAAATAAAAACATTAAAAATTTTTATAAGGCATAATGGTAACTATGATTTAAACAATAATAAAAGATAAGAGGCAAAGGGATAGCTAATTCATTTATGCACCGAAGAGATGATAGTCGATCAGTTCGGTTCAATGGAAGAGCTATAGTACGAACAGATTGCGGACTCGGTGAAGTTACGAAATCAACAATCGGTTGACATAATAAACCGAATTCTGTCACCAGATCGCAAAGAGCCTGAAAAAAAATCAAACTTTATCATTATAAATGAAGTCAGTTATCTTCTAAACAATAATTTAAAAATTTAACCTGCTGCACTGCAAGACGAAACCTTGATTGTAGAGAAACAATACCAACGTCGCCAATTTGCCAAATATTAAACTGGACAAGATATATTAAATTACCTTAAAGAAACACTATTCAAAAAAAAAGTAAATTAAAAAAGATAAAAAAAGCGACTTTGGGTAAGGATAAAAAAATAGTAAAGGAACCATTGTAATCTAACCTACTCAGCAAAGTTTCGCCCAACTGGACATGTTTACTCATGTCGAGAGAAATAAATCTTATATAAATTTTGAAGCAATCTGTTCAACTTCAATAAATTTTCCATAACAAATATCATTATCTAGTATGATAAAATTAGACGAAAGATACTAACAACTAATAAGAGGACTATCGAAAAACAACGAAGATTCACAGATTTTCTCAAAAATTTTATCAAGCAATATACCAGGCCGTTCAACAGAAAGTGATTCAGGAAGAGGCAATGCAGTATTGATACAACGTGTAAGCTCGTGAAATCGTTCTATTTGAGACTGACGAAGTTTAATACTGGCAGGACTTAGTGTCGAATGCGCCCCTTGATTATAGCTGGCATATGGCATGTCAACCAAAATTTGACCAAGTGCTGTAACAATACGAGCTTCCAAACAAGCCAAACCTAAACTTTTTTTCTTTTAAAATAGGTAATTGCTTCCAAAATGCAAATTATTTACCCATAAACTAACCGACAAGAGATGATCCTTTAACAGGCGGGCGACTGATGATAAAGAACTGCGGAACATATGAATCAGATACGCCAAAACTATTGTCGGGAGTTAAATAAGAACTGAAGTAAACTTTTCGTGAACTGTTGCCCTTGTTCTCACGAAATCTCGCGATACTCGTAAAAGTCATGATTTGTTGTTTGAGATAGAAATAAAGTGTACCAAGATAATTACCAACGAAAACTGGAAGTGTACAAAAGAAGACCGCATCGGGTTTGCTCGCGTCACGTTGAATGAACTAAAAATTCAAATGAAACAACATTCACAAAATCATAATGATATTTATTAAGAGAAAAAATAATGCAACCAAAAATGAAAATATCATAAACAGAATTTCACTATATTAAAGTGGCATAATGGCTATTCTCATTTCAAAGCGATGGCTTCTGTTCCCACCAGGAGTAAACTTATTTTATTTAGAAAAACCTGGTGGCGATTTCACTGCTAAGTAATTCTCTGGCAAAAATTTTTTATAGGAAAATTACATAATACAAAAAAATACAACAAGCTTAATCTGAAATGGCGAATTCTCCTAGAAAAACTGGAGAATTCTTAATTTTTGCATCGTTTTTAACCTAATTCCAATAAAACTCGGTTTATATATAATCGAGATTTATTAGTGAAAAGAAACAAAAAAGATTTGATATTCAATGATAAAATTTAGAATGGCTATATTGAATTGCTTCAAATACTTCACTAAAAAAACTAGGTTAAGGGCACATAAATTGTACATTCGTAGTTAATTGCTGGGATAAATTTACCAACGATGTGGCCTCTAAAATATTTTTTAAAAAGAAATTAAATTACTGAATAAAATTATTGACGAAATAATCTTAAATATCTAGCACGATAAAAGGTGAAAAAGAGCAGAATGATCGCTGTATTATTGTAATTTTTATTTGTTTTGTTTCCTTCAGGTAAGTTTGCATCGCTTTGTGAAGCGTTACAAGCAAGTAAATAAAGTAGCAAAACCGTCAAGAAAAACTTGAGATATAAAGTTCCACTTTGCAACTATCATTCAAAAATTTCTAAAATAAAAATAAAGTAACAAACTTTCATATCGTCTTCCATTAATCTAGAATCCGGATTTTTACGAAAAGTATTTGCGATTTCTTCTAAAATTTTGTAGTCGAGTTTCTTTTGCAGATTTTGAATTAATGACTGTAGTTTATCACCGGGATTACGAACACCATGAATCGTTAATAAAACTGAAGTTTGAAACTTTTGTTCAGCCTAAAAATTACAAAAAAATAACCATATCACTTCATCACTTGATGAAGAAAATACAACGTATAATAAATATCATATTTTATAATAAAGTTGAAATAAATAAAGAAAACAAACTTCAAGTCGCAAACTATTCGGTACAAAGATACATCCATTCTTTAAAACATTAACATCGGTAAATAAACGCATATAAAATATATTTTCTTCTATGTCACCGAATACATATAGATTTCTACGATTTCGTACAGCGAAATGCTCCATACGTTGCCTTAGTATTTCATATCCACTCGCTAAAATCAAATTTAAAAAATAAAAATAAAAAACTTAAATATACCACCACAGAAAAGAATGTTTTAAAACAACATACATAAATAAAGATTTGCCCCGTGAATTGAATGACGAAGACGAGGATGAATGAAAAACCAATGATATGAAACGACTGGACACGCGAAATAACCGGGAGAAAAGTAGAATGAGGCTCCATGTAAAAGAGATCCGTCAGCTTCATTCTCATCAGAAGCTAAAAAAATATCTTTCAACCACAAAAAAGAAATATGAAATATTTTTTGCAGGAAATCCGTTAATGGCGCTTCTTAAGTTTTAAACCTATTCATAAGTTTTAAAATTGAAATTAATATGACTTTACTTGAACAAAAGTCCTGAAATACGAATATTCTATATTATATTTAAGGGACAAATGATATTTTTATACCGATCCACCCAACGAAAAGAACTGCATTAAATAAACGTTCAGTAATTTAAATGTAGAAACTACTTTTCTGCCGCTTTGTTGGCAAATTCCAGCGCATGAAATGCTTCATGAGTTGCGTTTCATTCTGTTTAACTTTATTTAAGACCGATTTGTCTATTTCACCATCTTTTTCCACTAATAAACTGCTGCATTGGCCTGTTCGATAAAGTTGCTTCAGAAGTATTTCCTATAAAGGAAAGAGAAAATTTTAAGCAAGAAAAATGATAAAAATTAAAATTAAGCAGAATAAAATGCATGAATGCCAAGAATGAATTCCAAAAAATTTTAGATTTCTTCAGAAGTAATATGGAAATTTATGTAAAAATCATTTTAATTAAAATTATCTAAAATTCTATCCCAGAAAACTAAGGTGAATGAACCAAAATAGAATATTCCAGAGAAGTGAAAAGTGATAATAAAAAAAGCAAAAAACCTGATTAACGATTCTAACTTCATTTCTGACCATCTTAAAAAGAATTTCAAAAAGTCTTTTGTGAAGATTAGCGTACCTAAAAAATTATTGCGAAATATGATGTCACAACTAAAACAAATGTTTATATGATTAGCGAAATTTTAAAAGTATTTTATTGGTGAGCGATCATTTCAACGAATTATTGCTTTCTGAATTATTTCTCAACATCCAAATTAAATCTTACCATTTTACAGGAAACAATTATTTTCTCCTCTTCATTTATTTATTTGTCATCTATTTATTTATTTTTTCATTAATTATAATAGTAACAATAATAATAGTACAATACTCCTTTATCCATACTTTTTTCTTTAATAAATCTGCCAGAAAACTAAAATTAAAAACCAAAACTCCAAGGTATTCATGCATGCCGGCGTCAGGCGACAACCGCCCATTCCTCGCCGAAATATCGTGTGGATATCACCGACTTGCCGGGAATACGTGTTCTTCCTCAATTTCAGCCTTCTAGCAATTACACCTCGGAGTAGAAGCACTGGCTAAATCATTGTGATATCTCGGACAATGTGGGAGGAAATGGTATAATGGTCATATCAAAAATAGCTCAATTCGCTCGAAGCTAATTAACGAAGCTAATTAAGGCTTAATCTCAATTTAAGAGAAAGCCCTCAGTCTTTAGTGTTGATATGCAATAAATGACGAAGACAGGTTGTTGAACAACTGTTAACACCTCTCCCAAAGGATAAAATTATAAACGAACGATTAGAATGCGCACCATATGCTACTACAGTTCACAATTCTCTATGCAAAATGAGGTCTGAAAAGCCAATGGAGAGCACATTCCTCTCTGCTGAAAAGAATGAAATTTTTTTAATCAATAAATAATTCCGTCATATAAGGGATTCTCCTCATAACCAACATTCCAACTAGATTCAATTATATCCTGGTCAATCAACATTAAAGAAGTTCTATGCTAGATCATCCTCATTGCGAGTTAAATGGCAACGGATTAGATCATGTTATAATCCGAGCCAAGATCTATATGAAACTGAAAACTTACAGCAGACAGTATCCCCTAAAATCTTTCAAATCTGGGGCTAAAAGAACTGGAGCAGTAAGCATTTCAGAAGAGGTATCGAAATACCTCGATGATATAAATGCCAACACCTCTGGAATGGGCGATAAATATTGATTATAATATATAATCTGGAAATAAACTAAATGGAAACAACAGCTTAATTATCCGAAAAAGCATGCAAGGAGATCCTGGCTTCGAAGCCAAAATCGTTATTGGAGTAATGTGGCTCTGAATATTGAGATGTCTGCTCAAATAGATGTCTAATAATAGGAAGACATGCCTTCTTCATAAATGATGGTGCGCCAGTTACAAGGATCGCCTTAGTAAAAGAAATTCTTTCCAAATTATTTTAACCATCTGTGATGAATAATGAATACTCATTGAACCATATGTTTGCAAGCCGCAAACATAGCAAGAAATAATCTCCGTTATTCAGAAGCTTCAAGCAGATCAAAAAGCATGATAGCACTATTTTTAAGCTGAAGTCTTCAAATATCCAACGTTCTTCATATTTCAACATCAACTCTCTCAAGTACTCTCTGGTATGGAAATAAAGAGCTAACACCAGATAAGTGACAAACCAGTCTCGTTCCGAATTTCAAGAATAGTAATAGACAGGCTGTGACAACTATTGAGGAATTGGTCTAAACGCCTCTTTCCGCTTCATCTCTTTTTTGTTGAACAGGCAATACGCGACAGTAGGATGGGCTTTAACCAAGTTGTATTCAAAATAGCGCGCAGCGATGCTGATCAAATATTCACGCTGAAAGTGTTGGAACATCGCTTACCCTAAAATCCCTATTGTTTTCAATTTTTCAGGAAGTAACTTTGATATTTAAAATACATTATTATACCAAATAGGCAAATATGAAAGGGAATCTCGCAGTTTGAAATGCGCTCTTTTTTAAACAAAAATCCCTATGGAATGGCCGTAGAATCATCGTCAAAATGAAGGTTTAAATCTATCTGACTGCAATATAAACCATCCTGTTACGAAGCAGCAGAATGAAAGTGGAAAACGTTAAGAAATTATCTACCTTTGACCTTCCATGTCTAAGGTACATTTGAGGACAAAACCTCAAATACGATTATACGATTATATTCATCTTTGCTCCAACAACATCTGTATTAAAAAATATGGCCACAAGAGAGCTGGTCACGTTCTTCGCCATCTATCGCAATAATTGATACATAAGATCTTTCTATTTGCTGAACCTATTGGCGTAAAAAGCGAGGAGGACTAACCAAAAATTTCCAGTGACACAATCAACTTTTAGTGATAATCAGTGACAAAATTTTTAACGTACAGATGGCCTAATATTATATAGACTTAGAAAATAAAGGAGTGACTTCTCAAGTACTTCTCAAGTATAGCACTGGACCCAGCTGCTTAAAAATTTAGTCATAGGAACCAGCCTAATTAGTAATGGTGCCAGCTATTAAAAGAAGAATAAGAATCAAACCTTTCACAAAAGTAGATTTTAGCCTCCAACGAATCAATAACCAATATTAACCAAAAATCATTTGTAACCTGCTTTCGAAATATTGGTTCAGAATCCACCAAAGATTCAACTAAATTTCCAAATCACACAAAAAAATTTCATATAAATTACATAAAAATTTGCATTAAAACAATAAATCCAGTAGTTTTTCTCTATTATGGAACAGTGATCAACAAGGGAATATGAATAGAGAAGGGATTATCAAAACAATAATTAATGAAACTATATTGAAACGAAAAGTAATCTCCCATAAACAACATGAATTAAAAATAAAAGTTAAGTTCCAAACCACAAACCAGATAAAGCATAATCAAATGATGCTCGACGGATTTCTTTTTTTGCTGATAGATGAAATCCTTCATTCAGTTCAAAAAGTGGTGCACTGTTACATCTAAATGAATAGAAAATTTTTCGAGGAGAAAAAATGATTAATCTGGGTAAAAGAAATGAAAACAATATGAGTTCGATATAACAATATAAAAATAATTGCTTCTTGACAAAAATCCAAGAGGGAAATTCGAGTTAGAGATTAATATCTCCAAGTGACTTTCTCATTAGAGCTAGCGAAACCAGAAAAAAGAGCTGGTAGAACAAGCCAAATGATAATCGTATTACTTGTATCACTTGACAAATCCTGAATGTATTAAAAATTTGTTCGATGTTATGCAAATATTTTTAAAAATTTTTGTTAAAATATTACTGACCGCTTTATTTTATCCACTTTTTTCAAGAGTTTTCGCTTCACTTCGAGATTTAACAAATTCATTGAATATAATTTCTCCTTATCAACAATGAAACTTCTTTCGAAACTGCTCACCTATAAAAAAAAAATAAATTTTCATGTAATCAAATTTAATTACTTCTTTAAAAAAATATTATACCTATTACTATATAAAAATATTATACCTATTACTATATATTACTATATACTTATATAAAAAAACATGAAATACAAAAAAAGCATATATAAATTGTAAGGAAATAATTGATAAATAAGTAATAGGCATCAAAATATTTGCAAAACCTTAATTAAAAGTTATTTATTTATTATTCTTTTGGTTATAAAAGAATAACCCACTATTCAATTACTTTAGCATAAAAATAACTCACCTCACGAGATTTAAAACAGCGATGATGATTAGTTCTTTCAGCAATAACCTTGAATCGCTGTATGTCACTAATGGAACAACAGTATAAAATATTACTTGAATCAGGAAATATTTCTAATTTACAATATTCCACCACTGCATTTTTTAATCGTTCTTTTAAGCGGCGCAAAGCCTTTGCTTGTTCCATCACAAAAAAAATCTGTACTTTGGCATATTTAACACGGTCTGAATGACCTCCTTGTTTTACCTAAAAACACAATTTAATAGCGAAATTAGTGAAAAATTTTTATTAAAAATTTTTTAAAAATCCGTAAAGATCAAGTAAAAAAAATGAAGTCCAGTAGGTGCATGAAGCAAATTAAATTTTTTAACGGCTATAACCCTTATTAATATTAGAAATTAATATTAGAAATTTAGAAATCTTTTTTGAATTCCGAATTTGATTTTTTTCTTCCTGAAAAATTCATTTTATCCAAAAAACACTCATATAATTCGAATTTTTCTGAACTTACACAATAAATATCTTTAAAATAAAATTAAAAAATTGCAAATTCAAATCAATTTCTTGGAAAGAAGAAACAAATAAACGAATAAAATGAAACCTCAGATTTGATGTATTCGATAACTCTATTAATAGTTTCGTGATGCATTTCACGATATCGTGAAAGAACGAAGATTTTTTCAGCTTTTAGTAAGCGAAGAATACCTTCATGCAATTCAATGACAGCATTTCTTTGCTTCAATTATTTTATCAATTTTATTTTATTTTATCAATTATTTTATTTTATTCATTTTAAGTGAAAAAGAGAGAGAAAATGAAATAAATTTATTATTCAAACAAGAGTAAAATTTACCAATTGTGGCAATTCTGTCATAATACTCGAAGATGTCACGGAGATATTATCGAAATCAAAGGCATTCAGTGTTTTATTAGCAATGAACGGAGAAACATCATTTGATCTCGGTGATGGCAACACAGAATCCATTCGATCATTAAAAGCACGGCTAACTGGCCAAGACAAAATATGGATATCCAAAGAAACTTCAATCTGATCCAGGACTAAATGAAATAGGTTTATGATAAACGAGAAACTTTTTTTTCCAAAAGTAATTTTCATTTCTCTTCAGTTAGCTGCAAAGATTTTAAGACAAGGTTACTTGTCAGACAGCCATTAAGTTTATTTTTTGTGGATTGTACACAGAAATAACCAGTACAGTGAAATAAAAAATTAAATTGAAATTAACTTACGCGTGAAGCAATCATTAGAGATATCTGGACATTTATGAATAAGCTGCATTATACAAGATGGAAGATGATCAACAGGAAATGTATATAACTCCATATTGGGAAAGCGAAGACTACACGTAAAATTGATAAAAAGAGGAAAAGAACATCTGTTCTCTTTAAAGATTTTATTCTCGGAAAAAAACATCCCTAAAAACCTCCATTTGTCAGCAAAATTAAATTCGACCGCTTCTAAAATTTTTCGAATTTTTAAAAAATTTTTTTGAGATAAATATTTTTTATTCTCAAAAAATATCGAAAAATGAATAGGAATTCTTGGAATTAAATGAATTTGTGCAATTATTTTCAAAAAACCTGATGGAAGCCTTCTGACAGGGTCACCATTGATAGTGTCAAAACTAAGTTCTTTGGAACTTTCTTCATTAGGTATAACGAGCCTATCATCAAGCGAAATACGCTAAAAGCAATCTCGAAAATTAGCAGATTAAGAAACTGATGAACAAGATTTATGATTTACGTATTTAGGATATATATTACCTCATTCCGAGCTCGATTTTCAAGAACATAATAGAAATAATGTGGAGAATTTGGGATAGGTCTGAAACATGAAATATATTACCTGAACTCTTAATATTGATTGAACTCCTTCAATAATAACTAACCCATATAGAAAAAAAATGTTACCTAAAATGTCGTGATAACAGTTCATTAAAAGCATTTCGATAATCCTCTTGTTCATCTTCGCATGATTCTTCGCTATTATTCCTCAAAAAAACCTTTTTTTACACATCAAATAAAAAGAGGAAACCAAAATCTACAATTTTCACAAAGTAATAGAATTCTATTAAACCGAAGAAAAAAGTTATGAAAAACTTATGAAAAACTTATCATTTATGAAAAACTTTATCTTAAGGTCAAAAAATGAAAAACAAACGTACGGGAAAAAATCCGCTGAAGACGGTTTCTCACCCGAGCCATATGAATCAAACTAAAGGCATAAAAAAATTTACCATTTTTCAAACTCCTTTAAACATATCAAATCTTTATTTTTCGATGGACCTAACAATCCACACATATTATAAAAACAAAAAAGTCGAGAGTAAGATTTATGAAAAAGATTTTGGCATAGATTTCTTATAATATACAGGAATATCTCGCATACCCGACTTCAAAGAGCATGGATGCTGCTCTATTAAGCCTATTACACGAAGCCATGTCATTTCCTAATTTGAAAACCGAAATATCAGGTAATCCAATAATCCAAATGCACATGACTCGTACAAATGATTTAGTTGTTGCAGCTTTCCGTTATTTAATTTTTTTTTCCTTTTTAAGTCAGTTTATACTGATAAACTTTTTTTACTAATAAATAACTCGAAATTGGCAAGCTTGCATAATGACAACATGAAAAATAGAAAAAATCTAAATTGAATAATAATAAGGCTCAGATTTTCAATCGAAGAATTTTCAAAGTTTTTCAGAGGCAGACTGACACGACTTACGAAACGATTATAAATAGGATCTGAATTGTACAACGAAGCATGAAGATATGGCAAAGATGACAAGGCTGAATTCCATTATGTTTGTTTTTACAAAGACAAACAAACGACTTTACCAATATACTATGAAAATTTTTGAAAAAATAATAAAAATCTTTGTACCATATTTTATTCTAAATTCTTTCTACTGCCTAAATTTTTTATAGATTTAATTCATAATTAATTGTATATAGATTTTGTCTCTAGTACATTAAATTAAAACCCTTTCCAATTATGAAAACTCCGATAGGCGCTAAAAGGAATCAAATGTCAGTGCTATGCGAAGTATTCCTGAATATATTTATAGAATCAATTCCTTTTATTACTATTTCATCTTCTAACAAAATGTACCATTTCTAGGGAGTCTTACGAGAATAGAGTAGAACTGGACTCTCACCATTCGGCTAAGAGCCATCTTTTCACGGTTATATTTTTGTCAAATAACCCAACAAGAAACGAATATATGTTGTTTATCCTTAGCCGAAGCATCGTTCCTCTAATTTCTTTCCATGCAAACTTTGAATTTTTTAAATTAATACCTTATGAAATTTAACAAGATGCGAGCAGAGAGAACGAATACAATCATCAATATTATCCACTTCAATATTTGTTTGTTCACAGTATTCTTCCATTGCCTCAATTAAATCTTTATCGGGAATATAAAGTCCTGAATAAATGATAAAATAGGTTTGAAAAAATTAGTGAAAGAGCAAATTTAAAACTGAAATTTAGAACAAAACCTTCAATGAGAGCATGGTAGACAGTAGCTATAAAAGCTCTTGAGTAAAGCTGTTCTTCAATCATTTCACAGTATGAGTGTAAATCAAAAGCGGTATGCCTTCGCTCCTCATTATGCGACATCCGCGAAGTCGATAACCAATGAAGTTCGAGACAATCAGATCCTTCTAAATTCATATAAATAAAACTAATGTCCAGTTTTCACAAAATTTAATCTTTAAACCAGAAATAATTCAAATGGAAGAATTAAAATTAAAAAACAAAACTAAAGAACAAACTTTCAGCTGCTGGAAGACGTAACTGCCGATTTAAAGCAGCTAATATCGACAAATGATCCTCCAAACGGTGATCAGATAAGTAATTCACAGGATTCGGAGCTTTTATCATTGAAAGATGATAAGCCATCCAAGGTTCATCACAGTGAAACACCAGTAAAGGAATAATTGGAGATGAACTAATAGATAAAATATGTTCCGCACTAATAGGTAAAATAATAATTACAAGCCGCCACGGCGAAAGACGAGCAAGATATAAACGAACCGGAGTTTTAACTGTTTCCGCTTCAAAATTAACATGATAATCGGCTAACTCGATCGATTCAGACGACAGCGTTGACGAAGTTCTTTTATGTTTTCCCTTGAAAATATTTTTATCGAAATTGCGAATAGTTTCAGCCCAAAAATTCGGTTCATTAACTTCAATACAAGCGTTCGTTGCCGCTGATAATTGTTTATGAAAACAGTCGATGAGAAGACGTAATCTTGATAAACTCGCTGGATCAGCATCATCTGCAATATTGAATTTGGGTATAAATCTCTTTTTTTCTTATATTACAATTCTTTCCAACAATGCTAACCACTTCCACAATAAATAGACAGTACTGATAATAAGGAAGGAGAACGGAAAGCGGATTCTGGAGATCTTCACTCAGATTATTTCTAAAAATTATTTTTTCTCTTGAATAATCCTGTTTTATTGATTTAGATCAATAATCCATCTAATTTTTCTACAGGGTAAAGCACGTAAAAAACTGATGAATTTAAAATTTTGTCACTTTAAAATTTTTGAATTTCTTAAAATGGAGACGAAAAATGGTGTGAATTTCTTCACTTCGTTTATTAAGATTTTCATCAACAAATTTTTTTGTAGCAAATTTTGCTTAAATTGTGAATCCAAAAAGTGAACAAGAACGAGTACTATTTTGAGGGCCAAACTGAAAAGCAGCAGTCTTTTCAAAAATCTCGTACTATCTGCCTTTGCGCTCCACTGAACTTTTGAGATGCCTCATATTTGAGCGAAAATCCAAAAATTATTGCCTCAACCAAGAATTTTCATATATATATGGCTTTACTAAAGCTACTTTCCTAATTATAATCTTTTTAACAAATTTCTTTTCGAATAATTTGTGTTGAAATTTGAGAAATTTGACTTTAGAGATGCCTAGAAATGCGATTCACTGAAATAAAAAAAGTGATAAAAAAGCAAATTTCTAGAGAATTTCAAAAAACTAGCAATGACTTCACTAAAATTTGCCAAAATTTAACCAAAATTTAACTTGAGCACCTTTCTCAAATTATTCCTTCTCATGCCAAACATTCATGGAAATAAATAAAAGAATGATTATATTATTCTTAAAAACAACAAGCAAATTTTAGATTACTTAAAAACCCTAAAAAGCCAAAAAATTCCCTTCTTGGCTATTCCCTTTAATAAAAATTGAAAATCCTATATGGTTTATAGTTTTGAGGATTTATTTCCGTAATTAGCCGACCCTCAATAAACGACCATTCGTGGAAAATATATGTAATAAATCCAATAATGACCCAGGTAAGCGATCAAGCCAAATCAACAATAATCCGATTAATTGACCATGATGGCTATAATTAGGTAAGTTTACGACTTCCAATATGGTTCATAATAAAGATTATTTATTCGGTCGCTTATATTTTTAGCCTTAGAAATAGTAAAACAAATAGGTCAATCATTATTCATTACATACAATATTAAAGATAATTTCAAATAGCTCTTACAAACAACTACGAAAAATGGAAAAAAGAAAGTAGAAAATAGTAGAAATTGAAATTCATAAAATTCGATACGATTTAAACTCTGATTTCTCTGAGCCTTTTTCAATTGCAATAGGATATTTTAAAAAATTCTATTTAAAATTTATATAAAATTTTAAAAAATTCCTACAAAGTTTAAATCCCTATAAAATTCGGAATTCTATTCATGGATTATTTTCAAAATTGCGATAAAAATTGTTTGTTGTTCGATTTTTCCAGAAATCTATTTCGAATTGTTCAGCTGTTTACAATCACTTTTAAACTAAAACTATGAAAAACGAATCAAACCTAAAACCCGACACCGTACGTGGTTCATTATTTGCGTCTATCTGCTTATTTTCTAGCTTTCTATTTTTTTCCCTTTTATTATTTTATTTTTATAAAGCATGATGATAAATGAAGCAGCAAAATGTTTTCAAACTTTTTTGTCAAACGATCATATTATTTGTTTTATTCTTCAATCGATCCCAACTAAATATTAACAACTGAATCTATTATTATGGCAGCTCAATCGCCACAACTTTCAATTCTACAATATCAATTATAGCATTCTTAAAAATATTTATATAAAGTATTTTCTCGTGATGCTGTTGCCTATCGCTGATCACAAACTGATGAATCGATGATAAACACCCACTCTTGGCGCAGTACGAAAAAAACAAACCATCTTGATTTGCATAAATTTAACTTTCCATCCTGGAGTAGTTTTAGTAAAATTATCATTCTTTTCATCAGTCTATAATACCTGCATTTAATCATATCATATATACAAAGTACATCAAATCGCACGAAACTATGGCGATAAATTTACGGAAAAAATTATCGTGTTTTTTCACCGAAAAATTAAAATCGATAGTAACATTTCATATTTGCTCCACTTTATTCTAGTAATTCCAACTATTATAATATTAGTAAATAAAGAGATGAATAAAATTTATTACCATTTCATAAAGGCTATAATCTGACATTTTGCAATCATTTTTATGGAACTGAATATACTAAAAATATAAAATATACTTATATAAGTCTATCAACATGTATTGGAAATATTTACAGTGGAATATTTACATCTCTACTTCTACAAGGAAGATTTATTGTATAAGATTTATTTACTAGTAATCCGGCAAATCCAGTAAATTCACCAAACTCATCAAAACTCAACGGTTGAATAAACTTCATCTGCATCATATGCATTTCTTTACTTCATGAATAGAAACATTGATACCATGAATCCATTTTAACCCTTATTACTAAAATAAATAAAAAATAATTCAAAAATTTACCAGCTTTTTGCAAATTTTTATCAACAAACAAAACGCACAGAATGGCCTATTCTAAACAAATAAGAAGTTGCTAGGTTCATATCGAAGTGTCCTAGCATTTTTCTTTTTCAATTTTCCCAAATTTCAGAACATTGCATAAAAACTCAGAAATAAAGAAGAAAATGATACGTAGAAAATGAGCACAAAGGAAAGGAAAAACCCACTGTAACTTAACGTTGGAAGAATGACCACTTGTCGTTCGAGAACATTTCGCAGTAATGTACTTAAACAAATATTATTTGCGATTACTTCAACTGTATTCGATATTTTAAAATTTTCTGACTGTGGTACCAATGATGAATAATTAAGAATTTGATAACTTGAATGATGAACGCATAAGGTCATTAACTGATCCAATGTCCATAATGTTCGTACAATGGCTTCGTCAGTATCGTTTATCTAAAAAAATATCGAAATAAGAAATATGGAGATAAGTATAGTTGGAATAATGGTTCAAAGTCCAGAAATTCGACTTGTCTAAACTTAAAAAAGTTATAAAATCGTAGAAATTTCACATTAATTCATTCAAACTTTCAAAAATATTCGCTTAGGAAATAAACTTCATACTTTGACTATATTTTCTTTAAAACTAAGGAAAATTTAAACAATGATAAGATAAATTATAAAAAACTTGAAACTCCAAAAATTCTGAGACGAACGCAAAAATTTTGCTTAAGATTTATTCAAAAATAGAGAGGTTATAGAGGATAGACAATAAACAAAACAAATGACTATAGTACCAATGCAGATAATATTGATGATAAAATTGATACCAACAGCAACCTTAGAATTGCAACAGACAATTAAATGGAGAATCAGAATCTCACTATTTTGAATATAAAGTGAGGACCCAATCCTCCACTTTGTTGACCGTTCACATACTTCAATAGATTTAGATGAACTAAAGCAACATAATAAAAATTACGCGACGGATACACAATACAATTATATTTTTATATGAAGTCGATGTCAGTTGGAAGTATCAGATCTGGCAAATTGCAGTTATTTTGCCACTGATCCAACCTCCAACTGCCATAAACTTTCCTCTCATCTCATGAAACAACCGTTAAATTAGCAATCACAGTCGCTGCATAGACACTTCTCTCAGCAAATAGCCGAAACGTTATCAGTCCAACTATTATCAATCGCATCTTATCAATAGAAAAATTCAACGAGAAGAATTTTAAGAACGAAATTTAAGCAGATTATAGCGACATTAGAAATGGTATAGTCAAAAATACATTACTGGCTAACTGGCTAATTTTAACAGTACTTCTATCACATAAAATCATCATGAAATGTAAAATCAGGCAATCGACCAGCTGATCGATTGATATTTTACGAATATAGGTGGTTATCGAAATTTGTTACGTCATAAAAAAATTGAAAGAAATTTTCAGCAAAAGATTTCGTTGCATGGAAGAGAGTTTTCAGCTCGACATTGATGTAATAATAAATACGCACCAACAATTTTATTTGAGTGGTTGTAGATTTTCCTATAGAACAAATTCAACTAAATATTGTATTGTGTCATATATATATATATATGTTCGACAACCGTTATATGTATAAAAACGAAAGAATATATTTGTTGATTTAGAAAATTCCATACAGAGTAAATGTATGTATGTATGTATGCATGTATGTATGTATGTGTGTATATCTGTATGAATATATATCGCTACATTTGAGAATATTGCTATAATATTCAATAGTGAAATTAAGAGAAAAAAGAAAATAAGTAAAAAGGGATAAAAAAAATAAAAGAATTTTAAGCTGAAGAAATTCGAAAACTTTTATGATGTTTAAATAATGATAAGCATTGTTTAAATAAAATAAAATAACCAAATAAAATAAAATAACTGTTTCGACAAAAACTTGAGAAGCAAAATGTAAACTTTTTATAATCATTCATCTCTTATAGTTTCTAAATTAATAAAAAAAATCCAACTAAATAAGTTAATTAATTATAATTGTAGGAATTACGGTTATCTATAGAACATCAGGAATGATATTAATAGGTGGAACTCAACCAACTATTCAAGCACAATTTTAAAATCTCTGGAAAAATTTCTTTAATGGGTTCAGAAAAAAAAAACAATTTAATTCCTTCGAATAGACTGATTAGTGATTATAATAATCATAATTCCAGACAAATTATGCTTATACTGGTGAAAATAAAAAATTTTAAAAAAAGGATAAAAAATGTCGATGCATTAATTTATGAATTTAAATTTTATTGCATATGCAGCTTTTGTTCGAATTTAAAATAGTTTTTTAAAAACGATAGTCCATAATTCGATGATTTATGACCATGGCTCAAAAATACTTCAAGCCTGCAATTAACAACAAAACCAGAAAAGATGTGTATAAAATTATTAAAATTATTACGTCATAAAAAAAACCGAAACCGAAGAAGAATTCCAACCGCTGTTGAATAAATCGCGATCAAAGTTAAACTGATAATCGAACTAAAGAAAACCAACTGAATTTTTGAATTTTTGAAAAAACGCAAAAAAAAGCAAGGATGGCATGGTTGTTTTATGAGACAACGAACAGTGATATAGTTCAGATGTTCAAAATTAATTTGAAAATTATTATTACTAAAAATTATCGATAATTTTAATTAATTAATAGTTGATGAATATTAATAAAAATCAATTAATAGTAAATAAGAATTGTTCACGAAAAAAGAAGACCAAACAGTACATTCACTTATTCGTGTCAAGCACCACAGCTACGGTTCTAGCCTGGTAAGAATGAACATTTTTATTAAAAAATTCCAATGGTGCCATCCATCTGTACTTCGATCTTCAATTGATTCCTTAGGAAGAAATCCTATACTAATACCCAACTGAGTTGGCCTCATCAAGAATGATTAAATTTTAAGTCTGTTTCTGTGTATAAATTAGCCTCAAAGAGAAATTTTGCAATCTTCCGACTATCAAATATACTATTTTGTTACGAAAAATAGCTAACGAGAAGAGCAGAAGATATTAGGAAGTTACCCATACCTATTAAAAATGTAACCGATAATTTATTTTTTTTTTTTAAAAGTCCTCATCATTACTGGTTAAACTCGCTCCACTCGCTTGTCACATTGGGCAATAAGCCAGAGAGTTCCTGTCCCTTGACGATAGAAATACAGATGAGTCGCCAATATCACTCGACCCGATAAATTATAACCTACCTAATCGTTATGCCAATAAAATTTCATAAGGTTGCGCCAATAATAGATTCAAAATGAATGGTACCGTTACAAAATGACTAATGACTATGTCATGTTTTTTTTCGTACTTATACTTCGAATAACAACACATCTTATTATATGCCAAATCTACCAAATCTTGGTATGCCGATCAAGGCACCATGGTCCACGGTCAGGAGACATTTTCAATGTAGGAAGTTCAGTTTTAAAAACGTTTAGACGATGAAAAAGGAAGATTCAATTCAACATCACAGTGGAAGGTTTGAAAACGTTTTACCCTAGAATAAGAAGAATAAGAAAAAGAAGAATCGAATAAAGCCATTAAATTTTTTGATTCCCAACTTTTCATTGATAACTGTAGTGGCTTCTTTTAACAGCTATTACTGGTTAGGTTGGCTCTTAGTTTCAAGGGTAAGACGTCTCCAAGCTATACGATTTGAACTATCGCTAACAAGAAGCCATCTTTTTTTCCATCGTATAAATCCATATATCGTTTGCCTATACAAATCTTTTCTAATTGTATCAGTCCACGTCTTGATTGGACCACTTGGATCACCTCGCTTTTTGACGCCATTCACCACAAGGTTTAACAAACAACGAAATACGTATCAATTGGATCACCTATGGTAGGCGACGAAGAATAAATAACGAAGAGGATGCTGATTATACTGATAATGCAAGTGGTATTTGGGCGCGAAGATGGATGCAATTATGTGAGATTTATCCGATCGGCGGACGCTTAAGATATATTTTAGACTCAATGGTCAAAATAGCTTCTTAATATTCTCCACTCTTAATAGCTAGGTCTCGCAGCCATATAGCAAGATTGAGTGAACTGCGACTAAATAGACGCCGACTTTCGTTTTCACAATGGTTTCATGACAAGAGATTTAAGATTTCATCAACTGAAAGAACCATTTCAAGCTGTCGTTACCCGGGTTTCAATTTCATCCTTTGGCTGGCCATTTGGTAATGGAGCGGATCCAAGACATTTCTCAAAGTTAGGCATTTTCTTGACCAGCAAAAAATTGATAAAAAACGATATCAGCTTCTTGTAAAATAAGACGAAAAAATTTTCATTATAATAACATTGATAATGACGATTCTCGCTGGAGTTGTCGAGGCATTGTTTATACTGTTTATTTGCATTTCGTTATAAATGTTTGCAAAAAGGATATTATCAGCGTGTTCAACATCTGTAACACTGGACTGATTTGTTCGAAAGCGCTGCTCTATCAGTTGAATCGAAGGCAGCTGCACAATCATGACATGTGATGGTGGGTTGGTGATATTTAAGGCGAGTTCCTAGTATGTCCGGTCAGTATACTGACTATAAGATAATTTTCGAGCTTTATCAAGGATGAACTTTTGGATATGATGGAAACGAAGTGAAATGTTCGCGTGTTTTTTTTGATGAATGATAAAGCAAATATAAATGTTGATGATTAATGATGATTATATGACACGGTCATTTTGGACTAACCACCATATAGATACATGCTCACCAAGATAATCTGCCCTTAGCTTGATCTTCCAAAACTCTGAACCGTTCCCAGCAACTTTTCCCAGAGAACTGAATCATCGCATAATATGTCCAACGGTAAGATAAATTTGGCCTGACCATTTGTATCTCAAATGAGAACTATTGGTTTGTACGATCACACAGTTTATTTTCTTAGCTATCCGCAGTATTCTCAGGATCTCGCCAATTCAAAAGTATCTTCTTATATTACTTTCTTAAAATCCAAGACTCACATTCACCTAGAATACCACGCTGGTATAGTTCTATCTTTAAAAGCAAAGTCACACCATAGAATTTGAATATTCCAAGAATATTCGTTGCTGTCAGCTAATCTACGGCATATTTCTTGACTGTTTGAATTGTTGACGAATAATCCTAAAAAATTGAAGCTATCACCATTTCGATTACTAATATCAATTTTTAAGCTGGTCATATCGCCTGTTTTTTACCTTTTTTAAAATTAGCTTTAGGCCTATTTTTTTCGTTATTCTTTAACTTTTAAAGCTTGTAGATATATCTTATATATTCAGATGTTAGAACAGTGCTCTTAAAGTTTTTTTTTAGAGTCCTCACCATTACTGATTAAACTCGCTCCACTGGCTTGTCACATTGGGCAATATATATATCCAGGGAGTTCTTTGGCGATAGAAATACGGATGAGTCGCCAGCATCACCAGGATTTGTATGCAGGTTTACTCCTGCGATTGCCATTAAAGTAGCGCAAATTAATATTTTATTTCTATTGTTCGAAAAATACGCTTATCTTCGTCTAAATTAGCCTACTATAATATTCAGCAAAAAATTGACAAATAGGGGGAGAGAAAGAAGCATCCTTGTCGCACTCCCGGGTAAGTTTTTAATAAAGACAATTAATTCTGGGATTCCCATTTTTCTGAGTATATAGTTTGAGATGATCAACACAATCAAAAACTTTCCTATTATAGAGATGTATTCAATATTCCTAAAATCGATGAATCATATCAACAATAATGTCAATAACGTTTTGTTGAGTTCCCTAGCTTTTTCTAATACCTTGAACATATGGCGTTTTTTCTCGATGTAGGAGGCTAATCTACATTGGATATATTAAATATTTTGCTTAGAAATTAAGGATAGTGTACAATTGTTTGCATCTATTACATTTCTTTTGTGGCATTAGAATGTAGATTAGTTAGTTTGAAGTCCATTTTTTATAAAAACTTTGGTTCTTTGAAGATACTGTTGTCGATAAATCCTTCTTAAATTCGTACAGAATAAAAATTTTCTTATTCATTTATCCAACTTTGGCCTTTCAATCACCAATTGCATGCAGCATAAATATCTTACTTACATATTTTGTCGATTTTGGTTTGAACTTGACCATAGGATTCATCAAACTCTTCTTATCATTGATCATTGAAGCATAATCTTGAATGATCGTCCTAACAAAGGATGTCAATGACGAAATCGACATTATTCGGTTATTGATTGCACTATAGCCAAGAACTGCTCTTGCAATACCTTTCTCAAACATTAAAGCAGCATTCCTTCGCTTTTCATTTCCTGATCTTGATCTTCTGGCTGAATGTCCCACTCTAGTCCATCCCAATTCATTAATAACTGAGATGATAATTTGTAACCATTTCACTTTTTATCATATTGAGTTTTCCTGAGTTTATACTTCTTACGACCCACGAGCCTAAAATGATTCTTTCTTTGCAACTCTTGATATTTCTTTTTCTGTATATTGCAACATCAATAGCTATGGTACTCAAAAATCACAATCTGGCAAAGCCATTAACTCCATTAATCATTTCAAAAGATCAATTCCTCTTCAGTGGTATACTGAATGCGATGATCCGGCATAATATCGTCAATCAGTTTATATTTTCTATCAATGTGGTTTTCTTGGTAATAATACAAGATTGATTTACTACTGTTTCTTCCACACAATATAGTATGAAATGACTGATGCTTTTATCACTCATAGAAGTATTCATCTGCTGCTTCCTATTAATATAGGTTTTTGATTGTTACAGCGATTCAGACGACTCTTACGCATTGAGTGACCCTGCTATATATATTTTGATAAACTCTTGATGTTATCTGCTCATCTTTCTGAACATCTACTTTTCTTTCTTCAAATTAAATTAAAATTAAAAATAGAGAAATTAAAACAAAGAAACCGACCGCTCGCAAGCCTTAAATAATTCAATTTTGATGAAATAAAAAATTGATAGAAATTCATGGTAACTGCCAATATTATCATTATCTATTACTTGCTAATATTTTCTTCACTCTTCAGTATCAATCGTTTCTACCTCGGCACATAGCCTTCAACCTCTCCTTGGTCATATGATTAAAGAAATAATAAAGAAAAGAATAAAAAAATTGAAAATATTTTTATATGAAGCATTATCGACAATATGAACCAGTTATGAAAACAATTTTAAAAATTACCTTCTTATGAACAGCATCGATCTGCTCAATATAATCATCGTGAATAAATCCAAGCGGCTCGCGCCAAATCTCAGTCGTCAGCTGGAATCCCGATGTATTTTTTTGGTCGTAATTGTTGGAATTAATACCGCTAAAAATTATAGTAAAGGTAAAATAAAAATAGTGTTTAATAAATAATAAGTAAAAAAATATTACCCAGAATCGCAGGTAATATCAGGTGCCTCGATACGTAAAGGTCTCATAGTGGTTAAAGGAAATATAATATACTGTTCAACGACTGGTTGACGATATTCTGATTCTGGCTGCATTTCTGTTTGCCGAATTAAATTTACAACTCCGTTATTGCCACAGGCTATTTGAAATCCTTCACTGAGCCGACGGCTAAAATAGAAATGATTTGGATTACGAAAAAATTTTCGTCAACAGAAAATATGAAAGCGATTTTATCAAAGAAACACTACAATGGAAAAAATTACTGAAGTATTGTATGCAGAATATATTCAGCGGATAAAGCTGAGACAAGATAATCAGTACAAAATGATTTTATATACCATATTCGGCGTCTGAAAAATAAATTTAAATGCTGTTTCCAAACAAAACTGGAGAAATTTCACGAAAATTGCAAAAAAAAATACAAAAATTAGGACTTAAAATTAAGGATTAAAATTAAAATTAAGGAGTGGGACCTGAATAAAAAATAAAAATAAATAACACTTAATAAAAATAAATAACACTAGACAAATATTTAAATAAAATTTGAATAACTTACTTGCAACATAAATATTGGGCAATAGCATTGTGCAAAATTTTTTCACGACAAGAATAAGTTTTTTCAAGGCGTATTATACGATCTAAAACCGGTGGAATATTTTTATATCGAACAAGTATTCGTTCTAATGGTCTTCTAACAACCGTGACTGCAGGGACTTGCTAAAATAATAGGTTTTCGAAGTAATGTTTAATCCGATGTATAATTAAATTAAAGGCATTAAATGAACACAAAATTATTAATTATAAAAACAGGAAAATTAAGTTACATATTGCGTTATTACTCAATTACAAGAAATAAAAAACAAAAATTGGTACTGAAGTCCGATAAAATGTGCTGGTGTCATCCCTTACATCAGAAAAATCATTCACAACAGTATAAAAAGTCTGTATATCCATCGATAGAGATTTAAGCCTTCTCTTAATATCATCGACAATCTAAGATATAAAAAATAAGAAAAAATACTTATCAATGCAATGTTTATATTTTAGATGCATCGAGATAGTCAATTTCAATTTATTACTCGGAGGAGAACGAATGTCTTAAAGTCCACATCCATATAATTACAATTCGCTTAATCCTTAATCCTGCAATATGGCTGCGAGATATGACCAATGAGAATATCTAGAAACTATCTTCTTTGGACCATTCATATCTAAGGTCGAAAAGGATACATTTTACGGGTTCACCGAGCGAATAAAATCTCACATGACTGCATCCACCTTCCCTTAAATAGCCTTGCATTAACAGTACCATCAGCACTGTCTTGGTTAAGGCATATTCTTCGTCGCCCAGGAGTTGACATTTATTTCATTACTTGCTAAACCATGGGATGGATAATGCCAAAAGCGAGGAGGGCCAATCAAGATTTGCATTAATTATAATTAGACCAGCGAAGCGATACATGGATTTAGAAAGTGGAAAAAAGAATGGTTTCTATTAATTTGGCAATGGCGTCGAAGCGATTAACTTGGAGACGTATAATCTCTGCAGCCAGCGAAACCAACCATACCAAATGTTAGGAAAAGAAGAATAATATCTCAAACTAATTAAGCATAAATAAACATACTTCATTTCTGATAACACAAGATATTCCACCAAGAAAAGCAAATTTTACGGTTATAAATGGTGATTCTACAACATTTGTTCTCACTAAATAAAAAAATTCTGGTACTTGATTTTTATCCCTGAAATTTTTTTTATATAATGTGCATATAATTGCTCAAATTGGAACATATTATTTCACAATGTAATAACTAACAACCTTCCAACAAATTTAATGTATGATTGATTTCTGACCAAAGGAAACGTTGTTAGCTGTGAAAAAGTTTGATTTAAAGCAATAAGTGCATCTTGTGATGTTATTCGCATAGCTTTTGAACTGTTGCAATTTTTCATAAATATATTTTTTGGCAATGGTTGATCATGTGTGAGGACCAAACGCAAAATATGCGTATGAACCCATTTTTGCCTTAAAATTAAAAAAAATATGCAAGCAAGTAACACAGCTTCACCATTAAAGAAAAAATAAGTAGGATAAACAATGAAGAAAAGAATAAATATTAATGGAAATATGAATATAATTCTCAGTGATAGATAATAACCACTCACCATATTCCTTCGTCAAGATCAGATAATAATCTCCAAAATTCAATAAACCGACAAATTGATGGTTCAAGCGAAGATTGACTTTCCAATTCCCTGAGAATTTCCTAATTATTTTTTTTTTTAATAAAGAAAAAGAGATAATAAACTAGGGAAATAAAATTATAATAAAATAGAATATAAAATTTGCAACAATTAATAAAAAAAAAAATCTAACCTCGAATGGAGTGTTACCGTTGATTTACTACCATTAGGCAAAAACCGAAATAAAGGATTTTCACTATTAACTTTGGATGGTAATGAGAAATAATCTCGATGCTGATTGAATGAATGTATGTGAATTAATAAATGATCAGCTTGAATTAAACTAAAAATTTATATGAATTTGAAAATACCGTTGATCTGATAAAAAATGAATTAATAAATAAGTGCAACAAAAAAATTTCGTAATTATTCAAATATATATATTCACCTGCAAAAATTTCGCAAATGTTTTTCAATAATTAATCATTTTCACTCTCATTTTACCACAAAAAATAGTCAAAATCAGGTTTATAGTTGACGAACCTAGATTAGATTAAATGAAAAAACTATCAAAACACAAATACCTGTTAATAGAGTTTTTGAAGACGTCAGCAGTAATCTGCCGGTTGAGGGAGCTACATTCGACCAGAAGATCTTTCATAATATTGTAAGGTGCTTCAAAAATCAATGAAACTTTTAACAGTTCCCTAAATTAAAGAAAGGAAATAATAAGCTGAAAAGATAAGACAAAAAAAAAGAAAAAAGTGATAAAGATGAAAAAGTAGAAAATAAAACACAACTTTTTTTTAATAATCGGCCATTGTGCTGTAATTTTATATTCTATGAAAACCAGTGGTTTCCAAGGCAGTCGTAATTCGATAACAATATAGCCTTCACTTTTTTCCTTTACCTTTTCGATATACCTGATTCCTTTGATCGTATAGCCTTCTCGCATACGAACATATAGAAGATTCGGCAAACTGGTCTCATATTCCACAGACAAATATCGACGGCGGACAATATCACTGAATTAAATGAGATTTCCAAAATTTAAGATAACTGATTTTCCAAAAACCAGTTTTATTGGAATAAATAAAAATAATATAATTCACAAATTAGCCTAAGAAAATAAAATATTTGAAAAAAATTACCTAGTGTAAAAATCTGCAAAACCGGGATTTATTTCCTTCACCAAATTCCTTATATGCACATTATCCGCTAAAGCACGTTGAAAATTCCAACAAAGTAAGGCACGATGAAAGGCGTTTATATCAGGTGGCAAAATCTTAAACATTAAAATAAATATTAGTAATATATTTTAAAAATTTTAGTAAAATCTTTGGTAGGCTAAAGGTAAGTTTACTTACAACAGGCATAGAACACTGGCATTCCGGTAAATATGTCCCAAAAGTCGCCATAGCCAAAAAATGGAGTAACTCAGGACAAGATACATGACCAAATACGGATTCATTGAAATTCCTCTGCTGGATCTGAATAATTTTTCAGATACATGAGCTCAAAATTCACAAGTTTTTCTTTGTACAAGAAAAAATAACCTGGATAAAAGAACAAGTAACTGTAAAACTGCGTAATTGGGTCAGAAGCTGTTGAAGTGCACGAAGATCAGGCATACTACATATACCATCTGTTATTATTATTATACCTGAAAGTTGAAGAAATCATTAAAAACCAAAAGTGAAGCAATAAAAAATTGGCACAGCCAATAAGTTCAAAGCAAATATTACCTTTATATCTTTAAGTATTATACTCACCTGACTGCGTGTTTTCTGGAAGCATTTGTATACCCAGAAGTCCAGTACCAAGCATAAAAATTAAAGACCATTCCGGATGTATGAACCCCTCATCAGATCTAGTGAAATTACCTGAGTTTCTGAAATGAAAAAGTGAAAAAACAAAATAATAATCGAAATTACGAATTCCAATAAGAATTAAAAATTGAATAAAAACCTGTAAACTTAGACAAATTAGTGATTGGAAATATTTTAAAAAAACAAACTTTCTTTTGGAGTTTCCACTTGCCGCAGATGAACTTCGACCCACGCAATTATCATCTGACTGATGAGGTTGTGATGCAAAAAAATTTTGCGGAAGGAATTCTTCATCTTCTTCCTTTAAAAATATAAAAGTAATGTCAAAAAATTTTTTTCTGAAGTAATTAGCAAAAATTGGTGTAAAATAAAAGAAAAATTCATTTCAAATTAAAAAATTTTCTTGCCCAACGTATCTCTCGTTTCCATTCGCTGTTCCATCTTCGTAAATGTGGTTGCATAGATGTGCAAAGATTATTCACAAAATTAGTAAATCTCTTTCGGACAAATTCCAAAATATTTTCTATATTCTCCGAGTTCAATAAAATTCCCTGGAGTAATACCTAAAGAACAATAAGAATTAGAGAATAAACAAATAGAACATAATTTCGCAACAAATATTAAAGAAAACTTTTTTCTAATTTACAATATAATTTTCTAATTTTCTTTTTATTTTTCTAATTTTCTTCTTCTAACAGATCCCATCACTGCTGGTCAGGTTGGTACTGCTGGCAGGGAGGAAAAGTTTCCAAGCTGTTCTATCCGACGCCATCGCTGATAGTAATAGTAGCCATTCTTTTTCCATCGTCTAAGCCCATATATCCCATATCTTATATATTCAAAAACTATCCTCACTATACCTGGCTCTTCATTTTTGACACCAATCATTACAGCGTTTAGTAAGTAACGAAATACTTGTCAACTTTTATAGTGGACGAACAACTACTCTAACCAGCGAAGACGACATTCTGTGATGTGTTAATATAGGTGGTATTTGAGCGAAAGTGGAAATAATCACGTGAGATTATCCATCTACCGAACCCCCAAAATGTATCTTAGAGTGGTCAAAGGCAGATAAAATCCTACAATAATAACTTAATATCTTTCACTCTCATCGGCCATTTTTCGCAGCCATTTAGCAAGATCAACTAAATTACAGCTATATAGACACGGACTTCGTCTTTAAGATGATTTCGCGACTCTATAAAGGTTTGTCCTTCCGAATATATTTCTAGCTAACGTTATCCGGATTGTAATTTCGTTCTTTGTTTGACCGTTTGGGAACAGGATGGATCCAAGATATTTAAAATCTGGTTATTTCTTAACGGGCGATAAGGTATTTAAATATTCAACTTAAACTAATGGAAAAAATGATCTCTAAAAAGTTATCGAAAAATTATAAGAAAATTACATGAAATGATAAAGCAAATTAATCCAACTTAACTAATATCTGAGTATGCTTCCACAGATTTTTAGAGAAAAAAATTTTTGAGTTTTGTTCGAGAAACTAACTTTTTCTTCCTCAAATGAAATGAAAGGAGTATAGACACAAATGCTAATATACAACTGAGGTCGAAATTTCCTTTGTGTACCAGGGAAATTAAACTAAAAATCGGGAAATGAATTAATGAATTATAATCATTATATTTATAGCAAAATTCAAAATTTAAAATAAACCATACCATTTTCCATAATGTACTTATCAGCAAAGGAATTAAAAATAAGGAACAAAACACATCATAGGTTGAAATAAATACAAAATAATATAAAATAAATAAAATAGAAATATAAGTTAAAATATAGACAATGCTTAAAAAATTAATTAAATCCAACTGGTTGTATTACGTCACGAAGACATTTCTGCAAACAGTTCAGCAGACGTTCATGCAAAACACATTCTAGCGAATCATCCTATAAATCAAACTTATTTAACTCAAACATTACAATTGAAAATTGACAGAAAAAAGAAAAAAATGAAACAAATGCCGGAAAACTAACCACAACGAAAACTGATGGACTAAGATCGAGAACAAAGACTAAGCGATAAAGTTTCGATAAAAATGTAACAACAGTATCAGTACAAATTTTTAGCTGCTCCCCTTCGCAGATAGCACCATTATCCTTTGCGATAATTCCAACAATCTTTATTTCCTTCCCGTAATTCTCCTGAAAAATTTTTCTACTAACTAAATTTCAAAAAGTATTAAAAAAATCTTACTTAAAGAAATAATTTTAGCAATTTTTTCAACTTTTATTATTCATAAAAATTACATAAAAATTTAAGCTTTTTTGAAGCAAGGTTATATTACAGTTGCATGCTAAAACACTAACATTTATAACTATGAAATTGTGCGCGATATTTGCGCAGCAATTTTTTTTAAATCTATTTCCTCCAAAATTACTTGATATTATTCTTAAATCATCGAATTCTGCCATATTTAATCAATTGTTTTTCCAATTTTCATAAATAAATGAATGGCAAAACTAAATATGAATTTCATTTCAACTAGAAATAAACTAATAAAAACAAAAAGATGTTGATTGATTAACAAATAATAAGGAACTAAACATTCTCTGCACTACACAAATTTTTCCATCACTAAAATTTGAAGAAGTTTCGATGAAATTTCAAAAAACTTTACAATATCCCTCCTCCTTAGAATTTCCATTGACTCGTTTTTGATCCCCCCAGTTTCCACCGACTCCCCAGAGTTTCCGTCGACCTACTATCGATTCTCGAGGCTCCCAATGACCCATCCTTGGGATTCATCGACCTTAAAAAGATCACCCCTATGTGAAAGCTCATCCCCAAATAACCCCTACATAAAAGCCTAAATAAAAAAACAAGAAATCGCGTAATGAGTGACGTTTAATAGAACGAACAGAATTTACATCAAAATCGGCGTGTTCAATGGAAACAAATTTGTTGAGATGATCGAAAAGCCACAGCGCACGAATATTTCGCGAAACACGAAAATCTCGATGCATAAAAAGAAAAACTTCGCGAGCTTCGCGAATTTCATTGAAATTTTTCGCTTCTTCTCTCGAACTGTTGTTTCCTTTTGACATAACTAAATTTTTTCCCATTTTTATTTTATTTAATCGATGGACTTCGTAAAAAAAAAGCAAAACAAAAGGAACTTTTTTATTTTTTTCGCTTAATTTCACTTAAATGGTCGAATTTTTCGTGGAAAAAACAAAATTATTTTTTATTTTTTTAATTTAAAACTTTCTCAACCAATCAATTTTTTATGAAAAAAAAAAACAAAATTGCTTTTTTGGTTTTAAATTCTTTTCAATCGGCCGAATTTTTATATATAAAAAAGAAAACAGAAAGTTTCTTTTAATGAAAGAGAATGAAAGAGGAAAACGGGAAAAATGCAAAGTTAACGAAATTTGTAATTTTATAAATAAAAATAAATAAAAAAAGAATGTTTTCAGCAAAAAAATTTGAAAAAATTACTGACCAAGCGCCAGAGTAGCAATTGGCGACAGGGTTATAACCGATTAAAGTAGTCTTATATTCTCCATCGACTAAACTCCGCCCAACGCCACTCATATTGCTTTCATCCTCCATCTTTTTGTTCTATCTCTCACCATTACTGGTTGCTCTGACTCTGCTGACTGTGAGGGTAGGGCTTCAAGCTGTTCGATCTGGTGTCATCACTGGTAATATTAGGGGCCATTCCTTTTTCCATTGTCTAAATCAATATATCCAAATCCATATACATCCAAAATCTTTCCTGAATAAATCAGTCCAAGTTTTGATTGGCCCTCCTCACTTTTTGCGGCATCCATCACATTTCGTTTAGTAAATAACGAAATATTAACTTTTGACTTCTATAGTGGGCGATAAACGACTTTCCTAACCAGAGTAGACGATTCTGTGATGGTATTGTTAATGCAGGTAGTATCTGATCGAAGATGGGTACAATCATGTTATGGGTACAATCAATTTTATCCGCATAATATGTATCTTAAATCTGAGTAATCAAAGGAAGGAAGCCTCTTAATATTTTCCACTCTCATCGACCATGTCTCGCAGCCATATAGCGAGATCGAGCGAATTGCAGCTATATGAATATGGTGACTTCACGATAACTCCACAAAAGTTTCGTCGATCGGAAGAACATATTTTCGAGTTGTAATTTCATCCTTCGTCTAACCGTTTGGGAATGGAATGGATCTGAGATATTTAAACTTTGGCACTCTTAATCGGCAATGAATTCATAAAAATAGCTTTTTGTCAGCTACTTCTATAAAGACGAAAAGATTTTCACAGTATTAATAGTGATACTGATACGATTCTCGCATTACTTAGTATTGTTTGCATTTCGTCATAACTGTTAGTAAAAAGGATTAAAAAGGATATCATCAGCGTATTTAATATTTGTGACACTGAACTGATTTATTTACCTCTGAGTCCCAACAAGCGATGTCCATTATCCAGTCTATCGCATAGTTGATTATGGTAGGAGAAAGGACGCAGTCTTGACAAACACTAGTTTTCTTATTTCAAAAGGGTCTTACCATATATTCGAACCTGCCCCGATAAAAAACACCTTTATGAGGAGAATGATCTTCTCTGGAATATCACCCATCACACTCCAAATTGCTATCAGTTGAATCGAAGGTAGCTAAAAAATTGATAAAACACCTTGACAATAGACAATACGTTGCAAATTTTTGAAGCGATTCAAAGTCCTTATTAGCGTGTGTCGCGAAATGCGGTGTTTTTTATTATTTCAAATTTATTATTTCAAACCGGTAACCCAGACACGCCAATAAAAACATTCTTAATCGATTCTTTGGTTATTGCACTTTATATATCAATAAAACATAAAAGGATAATTTACAGCATATGTCGTATACTTTTAAAAATCTTTCCTCTGCACTTTAAGGCACCATATCGTTCTTCTGCCATTTTAGGCGCCATAAAGGGACCGAAGCGGTTGGGTCCCAATATTGATATTTTAATACTAATATTAATGTTTAAAACATTCATTCGTTTGATGTCCTTTGTCTCTTTATTCTTTTCCTTTGTTCTTTTGCTTTTAATCTATTTGGTTTAATTACCCAAGTTTGAGGTAACAAATAAAGACTTTTATTATACGTGCGGTGTTCTTCTTTCAACTGTCCTGATAAAACAGTCGGATCAAGGTTATCTAATATAATTAGCAGGCGAGCATCATCCCACTGCTTCTATTTAATAATTTTTTTATTTAATAATTAATCTATTTTTCACAGCGTGAATATATGGTCAGCATAACCGCGTTCCGGTCTGAATTCAGCTTAGTTAGGGGCATACGTTTGAGGAAGGATGATAGATGGTACTTGAAATAGTGAACTTCCATCAGCTCACCATGTAGAATACACCTTAGACATGAATAATTTAAAAGCTCTATATTCTCTTCATCTTTATTTCACAGCTCACATATAAGACCGTAGAATGTTACTTAAATGAGATCTCTGAAAAATTTTGTGTGACTCACATTTCTACAAAAATTTACTGGCTATTTAACAGTATAAAAACAATATTAAAAAAATGATAAATATATAAAAATTATAAATAATTATGAAGTAAAGCATAAATAAAGCATTTATAAAGTATATTTCTGCTATAAAAAATAATTCAACATATATATATATATATAAAATTAACGAAATTTTGGAAGATACTATTCAAAATTCAACTTTTTTTATGAATCTAATCTCTCTTTCACAAATTTGCTTTGTTTGATGACAAATAAAAATATGTGATGCGACACTCATAAATATGTCGCATGCATGGTTCAGTTGAACAGTGGCTGTATTACGACAAAATTAAATGAATAGCAGTTAGTTTCAAACCATTTGTGATTGAGGCCTATCTCATTCAAAAGGAACGGCAGAAGATCGATTCGAAATTGGTGGTACGAAAGCCGCGTTGAGTGGTGTTCTTCCCATCATTAATACAATTAGTTTTTTAGTTTATCAAAATTAGTTTTCACATCTCATCATCAGAGAAAATTTTCAATTCTGGTACTTTGCAAACAAATATATGGTCAAATTTTCATGAGAAAAGGAACAAATGTATATTTGTTCTATAAATGTTTTTATACTATTAAAAATTGATGTTACTTTTAAAAATATTATTAAACTAATATATTATTATTAAACTAATATTAAATATTATTAATATTAATATTATATATTGTTATTAAATATTAAATGTTATTAAAATTTCATTAGTCGTTAGGGATCTGATTCCCTAACGAATATTTCTCATGAATTAATAGGTGAACAATCCTTTTATTATCAAATGTAGAAAATACGAAACGAAACGATGTTTCTCAAATATTGCAGCAAATTGTCTAATTGAGCCAAACATGCACCAACAACAACATGCGATTATCACTTTATTAAGCCAATTCTTACTAATTGCTACAAGATAAATTTAGAGGAAGAACGTCTTCAATTCTGGAAAATATCGTATCAAACTTAGCCAATATGACACGAGGAAAAATCCGTTTCTTATCCCCTGTGAGTATTAAGGGTCATCCTCCACTCCATCAGAGACCTAGAAGATTGAGGGTTTTAAGTAGTATTTTTAGTTGTTCCTAACAGTACGCTTTTTTAGATAGAGATCTCTCGCGATATTCATTCCTGGAATCTGCTGAAGCCACTTTTCTAGTTTAGAGCTAACAGCTCTTAGCGTTCCAATTATCACTGGGGCTACTTTGGCCTTCATTTTTCACATCCTCTCTGGTTCCTATTTTCTCTTCTTCCTATTTATATGTGAAAGTAAAGGCTTTCTTGTTGTTCATGGAATATGATAATCAGATTTCTTTAATATGATAATCAATTTTTTTAATAGAGTATTTCGACTTATTGAAGTATATAAAATTAATAAATATTCTCAGCTAACATTAATCAATTTTGATGAAATTTTTATTCTTTAGTAGAAGAAAATCTTTTATGAAAAATGAAAACATGAAAAAAATTTTTCCTCATGATTTCCATGAAAAATTAAACACATTAAACCAAAATAAATTCTAAAAGGAAATATTCTTTAATTTAATTCAGAAAAATTGACATTTGACATTTCTGCATTTTTATGCAGTGGATATGCTCTATGGTATTGTTGAACAATTATTACACGTTAATCGCAGGTGTTGCATTTGAACTGCCAATAAAGGATATCAAGTATCCTCTTGGTTAGTACCAACGATTGAACAGATTATCCCTTCACCTAGTAATTGGCTAAAGAACCATTCGTTTATCACAACATTCATTCATTACACAGGCAATCAATGTTATATTAAAACTGGAATTTAGTGAAAAAAATTGAATAAAAATAAGTTAAAGAAGATAAAATGCAAAAAGAAGAAACCTTATTTAATCCAGTCTTTTAAATATCTAAATTATTATCCTATCTATTATAAATTATGTTAATTAAATTATTATTATTATTGTGGTAATCAACAGAAATTTTTCGAAATCAACGAATTTTTCCACCTTTGAAAGTGGAATCGTTCTTTATGAAAGAATGGAAAGTATCTATCGACGAAGATTTTTACTTTCGAGCCTAATTGTGCCGAACACCTATAAAACATAAAAAAGATCCTTTGCGGACTCATCTCTTTTTGTTTTTTTTAAAGTAATATTTATTATCTTTTAATATTATGAAAAATTTCTATAAATTAATAAAAGATTTCTTTTTTTAAAAAAAATTTACAATACGATGGGTTTTGTAGGAATTAGATGAAAGAGGAAATATTTTTCTCCGAATCAAAACATTATCATATCATTCGTTATCGTTATCATTATTCATAGGTTATTCATAGCAAGTCATTACATCGAAATATTTTACATGGAGTGCTTGTCAACCTCTTTATTGCAGTGCGGAGATACTGTATTCCTAATATGTTGTCGAATTAAACGATTTGATCGCAGTTATTTATTTATGGCACTTGGTGCTTGCGTATGATTTGGTGTGCACTTTTCCTGGAAACGAAGGTGTAGAGAGCAAAAGTTTGGTTCCAATTACTAATATCTATTAGGATATAGTTTCGTATTTATTAGCTATTTAATGAGCAAACGAAACAGTTGTTGGCCAAATTAGTGATTTTGCTTCGTCTGTACCATATGTATCATGTAAGTATAATTCCTAGTTCGTGATGCTCAATCGTAATAGAAGCAATAGGAAAGGAATAGGAATAATGATAGGCGGAGTTTAGCTGAAGAATGTAAGAGTAGGCAAAGCGGTTATAAACCTGACACCAATTATTTCTTTGGCGCTTTGCCAACCAACTTTTTAAATTTTTTTAGTGGAGAAATCCTTTTTTATAGGTGAAATTTTAGGATTTAAAACTAGTTTCGCATGCATTTTTCTCTTTGTTTTCACTATAAAATTTTCCATTTTTTTCGTTTTTCATTAAAAAAAGCGATGTTCACGAAAAAATCGACCGACTAAATAAAATTTAAAACTAAAAGAATTAAAAAAAATAAGCTGAATATCCCCTCTGACGTCACTCTCCCAGACGGCTAATTTCGCGACTCGCCGCAGTGGCGGATTGCGGCAGCTCGTTTGCCGAATCCTTTTGAGCCGAGTCGGCTAATAAAGCGACGCGGAACCCTCTTTGAGGACCGTTCAACTGACTGGGTTCGCTTCTCGTTTATGTAGTTCGCTTGGGAGTAATATTTTCTAGGATTCTTCCTTCGAAACATTTGTCTTTCCGTCGCCATAAATAAACACACAACAGTGTTTGAAATAATTGAGACGATTTTGTTAATTAATTAATTGATGAAGAAAAGAAAATTAAATTTGCAAAATGAGGAAAATTCACTAATCGCATGAAAAAATCACTGCAAAAAAAGTCAGTCTTTGTACAAAAAAGGAAAAACACGAAACATCTCGTATTTGGACTCTATTAAAAAGGTTAATTCCCGTTTTTATTATTTTCCTTTTTGTCTCCAATTAGCACGACAGAATTTATTAGAAATATAATTTCGAGGAAGATGGAGATGAATCTCGAAAAATAAGCAAAATTAATCAAAACTCTCAGAATTTTTCAAATAGGAATAGTGTCAGAGGATGGAATGAAAAGATATTTTACAGTCAGTTTATTGTACCGACGAAATTCTAGCTCGGATAACCATAGCTTAAACTCTATTCCTTCTTCTTTTGCGGCAGCATTTGCGGATCGAGGAATCAGCATCCAAAAGCAGTTCGCGTCTACCTGACGACAACGCGCATGATCCTGCTATATTTCTACTGATAACCACTGACCAATGAGAGGATATCAGCATTTGAACATTGTTACTTAAAATATATTGAACGTGTACGATGAGCGATTAGAATCTCATTTGACTTTATTCATCGTTATTTTCCTATTTGAACTCCAGTTATTAGTGATTGTCCTACAGCATTGTCTGTTATTGGCTCCATCATTTGTCCATCACAAATTTACTCGTCAAATTGCTAAGCGTTATGACGGATGGCGCTAAAGAGCCAATCAAGACTTGGACTGATTAGCTTCAAAAAGGCATTGAATGCATAGGCAATTTATTTGCCTTGAATGATGGAAAATATTGTGGTTTATTTCCTGTATTTATAATGTTAAAGTAATTTGATGAAACAAGCTTGTTTATCGTGCAAGGCGAATCATAAGAAATATTCAAAAAATTTTTTTTCAGTTTGGTTGGCCGCATTTATTGAGGAAAGCATGGCTGGTTGGCTCGTTTTTTTCGAGCCAAGCCGTTGTCAATTCAATTTCTATCGATCGATGGGAGCAAATTTATCATTAAAACTGGAGTCCGGCCGGTGTTAAGAGAAATTTTATTCCAAATGGCTCTTTAACAATGATATCTAATAGCCAGTGGTGCAAATCAAATCAGATTTATTGAATACTGTTAAAGAAAAGGAGCGCGAGCCTTCCTCCTTATTTGCACGTATAGGCATATATATTTAATGTTAAATGTTAACGATAAAATCAGAATCATCAATAAGTATTATTAGCAAAAATTAATAACTTTGATATGGAAGATAAGATTTATTCACAACTATTCGAACAATGATTGATTTAAATGTATAAATAGTATAGTCATAATCGAATGACAAGAAATTTATACAACAAGAAAATTGTGTTAATGGCCTTATCATCATGAATGACCGTAATTCAACAGCACTTCATGCAAAATAATTTGCATGCAAAAATTGCAAAGCGATCGCGAATATCTAATTTATGGATGACTTATACAGTTTAATTTCCATTACCAGTTAAATATATGAGGAATTCCGTTTATTTATCTGGTTGGTCCAAAAGAATTTTTGCTGCAAAAAGCGTGGCTTTTCTCGTTAGCATAGCTCATATTGAAGAAAATTGATTGGGAATTTGAAAAGCAGAGCAGAGGTGAATGCGAATGAAATATTTTGATAGTAATGAACTGGTGAAGTAATAAACCTCCTCCAAAAAAAGTGAGAAATTGTTTGTTTTAAATTTCAAGAATTCAAAAAAGGCTTAAATGCATTTTCTCGTGTCCTTAGGTGATTTATTGTTTAGCTAAATCTGTGAGGGAATTATGAGGAAATTAGGAAAAAATTCAGCCAGGCTGGTTTTTATTTTTCATTTATGCTTAAATGGATACGCAAGAACAACGCTAATGAGGCGATTCATCATTTGGTGAACGCTGACCATGAATGGAGGAATGAGGCGAGAAATTCATTGATGCACACATCCGTACACTAAAATTGACGCAAAGCCTAGAGGACTCATTTCTTAATTGTGCGAGAAAAATAAGGCAAATAATTAAACAAATAACGAATAGGAAGGTACTAGAAAATACTGGACGAATGAAAATTTTAATATTTTGGAACCATTTCAATGCAAATGTTCACATTTCACTTTTTCTTGGGTTATTTGAAAAGCGTTTTTAAGTTAAAGCGTTTTTTTTTATTTTGAAAAACTTTTCTTGAATTAAATTAAGAATCAAATTAAATTGAAATACCAGTTTTATCGATTTGTACAAATGTATTCATTTCATTAATCTAAAAATTTTTAGAGTTGCCAAAGCCAAGAATTTTCAAATGACCCAATAATAAAGATAATTTCATTGCTGATAAGAGGATTTATTTGATTTCCAGCAAGGAAACTGATCGGTTCAGGAATTTTGGAGCGATGCTCAATTTTCGAGGAAACAACGCCAAGTTTTGATCGTTTAAAATCATCCCTTCGCATGCAATTATCCATTATTGCATAGAAATTAAATAAAAGTTCTTTAAAGTAAAAAGTATTCTGGGGGAACGAAGCTATTTCAAATTTTGCTATCGTTCACCAAGACAACGTTTATTTGTTCTTTGCGCATCAAAAATTTTCAAAGCTTCATTAAGATTATCTTCGAATTCTATCGACTGTCCACCGATTATATTCTCTAGATAATTAATAACATTTTTTAAAGGTAAATCATGGTAATACATAATGTACTGAGCTACAATCGCTTCACAAATATCCCTTCTTGCATGCACAACCATCACCTGAAATAAGTGATAAAAGGAGATACTTTTGAGGAGACCGATTTTCTCTTTTTTAGAATTTTAAATTCCATAGCAACAGATAAATTAATAAATTCGCCAAGGATAAATATGATGATCAATTAATAATAAATGAGTAAATTACGTCAACGTAAGGTGAAATTGGTCTATAAAAAAAAGATAGAACTAACATTCAAACTTTGAGCTCGAGCTTTTGTAATGACGTCAGTTATGGCCGTAAATTTCTTCAAAACCTCCTATAACAAATTCTTAAAGAAATTTTTAAATCACATTAGCATTTTTCAATTTTTTTAACGCTAATGCAGCAATTCAGCTAATTTATGGGTTGCTTAATATTGGTTACCTTTTCGTTGACTCAGTATCGGCAGCATCAATCATGCCAAGAAGAAGTTGAAAAGATTGCGAATTGTTATGCGCAAACCTATTCATTTACTGCTTTTCTAGGTTGTTTATTAAAAGATATTTACCAAAAATAAAACTTCTCTATAATCTAATTCGTTTTGCAAAATGAAGTAAAAATTTGCATAAGAAGCATATTAGTTACTTTACCTGAGGTGTTAAAAATTTACTAAAATCAAAAATGAATTCGCTTGAAGGAAATTTTTTTTGAATAGAACTGTTACATTTCTTAATTTTGCTTCGTCTGCATCCGCTTAGATTCTAAAAAATCAAAATTAAAAAAAATTTTCAATTGAAATCAATTTCATGCAAAGGATTTCATCATGAATCTATATTATAAATATTTATCTTTCCAGATGAAATCGACGACACATCTATATTTCTATCACTAAATGACTCTCCACAAAAAATAGTCCGACAAGCCAGTGGAACGAGCTCAATGAGAAAATGCACAGAAAAAAATTTTTGAATAAAAAGCGATATTCATTAATTTACTATTAAACATCCAATTTTATTGATAAGAACAAAATTTTCGTCGTCAATTTTTTCGATAGACGCATAAGAAAGAAATTCTAGGACACGATAATAAAATTCTGTTGAGTCGACGCATTGCTCGTTGTTTTCTGGCAAAATTCGTTTAGCTGCAGCAGTGTTCTCTGCCTCAGCCTCGCTTAAAGACGATTTGTCTGAGAAGGAACTTTTCGACGAATAAGGTTCCACCTTAATTTAAGAAATATGAAAAGGTAAAATATCATCAAAAAATCTTTTAGCGAATATATTAATTTTATTCCTTATATTTATTAAATTTCAACCTCGTTCATTCAGTTGCGAAAATTGTGGAAAATTATTATCTAAAAAAGGTGCCTCTATAATAGGGAGGATTAAATGCTGTTCGCTGCATTAATAATAAGTGATAGAGGAATATTGAAAATTACCTTTTAGGTAATTAGGCATATCGAGAGATCACTAAATGAGTTCGGATAATCAAAATTGGCTTATAAGTATAATCCAATATCTATTAGACTAATTTAACATTATTCATGACAGCCAACAAATTGGTACATAATTTTTGTCCTATTCGCTAATATAATTATTCGAAGACCACTGATTTAGGCCTAAATCTCTGCACAGTTTCGCCAGTCATAAATCTTTTTATTGTGGCGAGGAAATTTTCGTTCAAACTGCTTTAAATCTAACGCATTTTAGGCGATGTGCCATTGCAATTAATTCCAAAGAACCTAGCAGAAATTGTCGATGTCGATAGAAATTGCCTATTAATATCTTTTTATATTAATAATTTAGCAATCGAAAATTGGTTAGTAAATATGCAGAAATAAGTTATTCGTGATATTTACCTGTACAACTGTTGCTTTAGCTAAGTTAACTGTTATCGGTTGACGATTATTCTTAAGTTTTATATCATCAGGAAGTGAGCTACTTGATGAGAAGCTTTTTTCATATTTCGATAGTCTCTACAAAAATTTCGCCTTAAGTTATTTTCATATGTAAGGAAATAATAAAAAAATCAATTTTTGACTTCTAATAAATTTTTAGAAGAACATTTCAACTGCATTTATTTAAAAAACAATAGTGAACCTCAGAAATATTAAGAGATTGAACATCAGGCAGCGGCGATGCGGAAATCTCTGATCCAGTATGCGAACGGTACAAAATACGATTCTTCTTATGTTCGACAATTCGTGGCTGTATCGACGCATCTTTCTTCTCTCTGCTGCTTAATTCAGCTAACGCAACTTTTTCCATATGCAATATAAATAGAATAAGAATTGAATATTATTTTTATAAAAATGGTAAATTTTGAATGAAAACGCAAATAAATGATAACTCTCTGGATAGCACTAAAGCTTGTTGACTGTTTTTTAGAAATTATTTTGAAAAAATTAAAAATAAATTAATAAATTTAAAGTTTTGCATTTTGCATTATTTTAGATTTTGACTCTTAACTTTCAATTTTTAAAAAATTTTTGCTAAATTTTTTTTTGCTTCTAATAATAATAGAATTTTTTCGTTGTAATTTTTTTTAAAATAAGATTTTTATAATTAAATTTGAGGTGATGGAACGATTTTTTCATGCAAATGATTTGCTCAATGTTGTCTTCTTTCTTTTTCTTCTTTCTTAACAAGCAAAACAAAACTATGAAACATTTTGAAAATGAAATGATAAAACTAAGAATGCTAATGTGCTTTATATTTGTAACTTAAAGAAAAAAAGTAATAATAAAAGAAATAAAGCAATATTATCAATAATAAATTGCGAATAATAATAATACACAAAATTTATTTATGATAATAAAAGAATAAAATTTAAACAATGAACGAAGAGAAAAGATTGATGAAGTTGCGGAATTTGGTTCTAATCGGATTACTTAACTACAATCATAGATAACCTTAGGTAAAGTTGACATGCGAGAATAAGCTGAAATAGCTAATATATTTCAAATTAATATTAACCAAGCAAAATCTCATCAATAACAATCAAATCGTACTTGATTCCTCCGACGAGAATCGAGATTTACACTCCCACTTCTAATTCTATTAGGTAAAAAATTTCAGCCTATTTAACAGTATAGTCACGAAATAATGCACTCTTTTAGAAAAAAAAATTAAACTATTATTGATAATTAGTCACAAAATCTAGTAAAGCAAAATATTTAGGAATATTGTATATTGCTTAGGAATATTTCTATCCAGATACGCCTATTAGTAATTGAAAGTCCGCTTCTATATAGCTGTGATTCGTTCGATCTTGCTATATGGCTCTAAAACATGGCCAATGAGAGTGGAGGATATTAAGAAGTTATCTGCGTTTGACCACTCTTGTATGAGGTACATATTACGGATCCGTCGAGCGGATATCACAGATATCACATGATCGCATACATCTTCGTTCAAATACCATTTGCGTAAATAATATTATCACAGCCGCCTTCTCTCCGTCATCCACTACAGGAGTTGACGCATATTTCGTTATTTGCTAAACCGTGTGATGGTTAGCGTCAAAAGCGAAGTGGGCCAATAAAGAGCTGTACTGATATGATCAGAAAAGATTTTGAACTAATAAGTGGACTAACAATAAATGGACTTAGACGATGGAGAAAAAAATGGCTTCTATTACCGTCGACGACGGCATCAAACCGCCTGAAAGCCTGAAAGCGTTGGAGCCAGCCTAACCACTAATGGTTAGAGCTGTTTGAAGAAAAAGGCCTACTAATATAATACCCATTTCGTAAGATGAGCAGATAAATGTTGATTAAGCCATCAGTCATATCCATTAATTTATTTTTTGTCCAAAAAATTTGTTATGGCCCTTTAGCCATAAGATTTTTTCGACATATTAATATGAAAATTTGGTGTTTCATAATTTTATTTCGAATTATATTTCGAGTACCATAGTTATGTTGCTCTGCTTGGTGCAAATAAATAAATAGCCAAGCCGATTAAGTTTTTATAAATTTTTCAAAAATAATAAAAAAATTAATGAAGGGAATAAGATATTAAATATAAATAGATATTTTATCACAAAGGTTTCATAGGAAATTCAATTTTTTCATTATTAATTAGTTAATTTAATTCTCGAAGATGTTTTTCTCGAAAAAGATTTAACAATTAAAAAATTCATAATTAGAAGTTTATCGAAGGAATTCTTTAAACTCCTTTATATAAGATTACTTACATATTTTCAGTTTTCAGCCAAAATGATTTATTTTAATTGTGAACTTAAAAATTCTCGCAAATTTTTGAAAGCTTCATAAGTTTCTAAAAAGCAATCCACTTCCTCAGAGAAAGCGTAAGTATATGATTCCACATTAATGGAGAAATATTTGTTAAAGAGAATTAATGGCGGATAGGCCAGAGAAGGAGGACACATATTTCGCTATTTGCTAAACCCAGAAGCGAGGTGGACCAATTAAGACCTGGACTGATGCAGCCAAAAAAAATTTTGAACGTATAGAAAGACCAGCGATATATGGACTCAGAAAAAGGAATGGCTTATTTTAAGATGGCCTCAGATCGTGCAGCTTGGAAAATTTGCCAGCCAGCGGACTACCGGTGAGAGTTGTTAGAAGAAGAAGAAACGACGGATAAGGATAGAAAAAAGGTAAATGGATGAGACTTTGGTTAGTGGGTTGCTTATTTTGGAAGTTTCAATCTCTTAAGATCAAATTCGTCTTTCGAAAATTCGGATGGTTCTGGCAACTCATTTACAAATAGCCCTCTATCACAAATAGCCCTCTGGCTAAACTTGCCTGGTCTGATAAGTCAATAGAACAATCATAGCAGGAAGCGGTGAATCACTTATTCACCATTTATCACTTTTTTGTTCGCTGTTAACGATGTGAGAGGAGAACGTTTGAAGCATTCTTGAAAAAAAATAATAGTCAATACCTCGTTATGCGAAAGCCTCATTCTCGATGATAAAACGGAAATTAAAGATGACTCTAGAGAGTCTGGACAAATTTAAAGCGATCAATGTGAAACTAGTAAACACCTTGATTTTTAGCAGCCCCACCTTCTTTCATTAAAAATCCAACACTTAATAATGGGCTAATCTATAGTAACTTGGATAATTTGTAGTTTCAAATATCAAAAAATCTCAAAAAGTTTTGATAAGTTTTTCATCGAATCTGTTAAATTGTTCTTTGTTTTAAAGATTAAAAGAAGCAATTAAACGAAAGCAATTTCCCTCAAAAAACTTCTTTTCTTCGTACGATAAGAAAATAATTGCCTTTTAATGATTTAAAATTTTTCAAATATTTAAAATATTAAAATATTTTTAAATAAAGTTGTAATGAGCAAATTTGGTCATTTAAAATTTGTTTATGGCGAGTTGAAGGCCCGAGAATATGGCTAATTAAAATTTTGAAAATCGTCTTGAAAGCGTTCTATTACATAGGAGGATAGTCACCGTCGGATTTTCCCGCATCCCAGTATAAAATTGGCTAGAAAACTCTTTAAGCCTTCTCTTCTGAAAACAAGAAAAAATTAAACTCAGAAACTTTCAACTTGAAACTTACGTATTGGCCGAACCATTGGTCTATATGATTATTAATTATTTTCTTAAAGAGTTTTAAAAAGAGTTTTTTCGTACTAATTTAACAACCAAGAAACATGATAATGCAGCTTTGAAATATCATTTACATTCGTATGTGTCAGAGCAAAAATTTTTTCATCTATTTTTTATTTTTCTTAAAATTTTATAAGAAAATAGAGATAAAGTCGTTTGATAAATGAAAATCGAGAGACATATTTTAAAAATAGATAAATACAAAGTTAATAATTGTATTAATAATTTTAATTATGATTTGTAATGATCATCATATGTGCCGAAGAATATCTGCAAATCTGAAAGTCTAAAGAATATAAAGTTTATTATGAGGATTATTAGCAAGTATGTTATGTCTACCTAATTATTCATAGAATCGAATTCTCTAGCAAATACTTCACGGAAATGAATAACATCGAGCGCTTGAGAAGCTAAGGAGTTCGGCAATAATCTTAGCTACAAATAGGAAAACCCATGAGACTTCGCACAGTGCGGGGGACTTACCTATATTTCTCAAAGTGGTTCTCTTTTTTCAATCTTAGTAGTTAATAGAATCACCCAAGCAAGAACAGTTGAAAGAGAAAAAGGTGATCGTCTCCAAGATTCGAATAATCAAATGATTTGAAACAAACGGTAGTCTTATTATTCACTGAATTCAATTTTCAATTTTATTTTATTTTAGGACTTCAAAATTCATTCGTCTTTTTTTTTTTTAATTCGGCTGGTTAAGTTGGCTCAGTTGGTTATGGGGCTAAAGCGCTTCCAAACCGCTCGATTCGATGTTATACTTAAGGTAGCGAAACCTGTCTTTTTTCCATTGTCTAAACTTATATATTCTTTCCACGTTCTGAAATTCATTTGAGCTTAATTAGCTTAATTAATATAAAATTGATAGCAATGATAAAGTTTTAATGAAATTTCTACGATGCAGTAGAGATTTTTTCTAACAGTCTGCTAAACTGCTATAAATTTTACCAGTTGCGTAGAAGAAGACAGAATTTTTCCTCGCATATCAGCCGGTGATGATTACAATATAAGATAGGAAGTGCACTCACAGTTGCGGTCACAGCAATGGTTGACAGGTGGATTCTGAGGCATCGTTGCAACAAAACCGATAAGTGGCGAAATTTCAGGTTTTATAGAAATTATATTATGATAACATTGATGTTGAGATTGATAATATCTCTTGTGTGGTACCATCCCTAGTCGTAAATTACTGTCGCAATTGAAAGTGTTCATAAATCGGTGAAATGGATTAATATTTAGTAATTTTTTTAGTAATTTTTAATACCATAATTGCTTGGCATAAAGAAAAGGTTAAACGATAGTTGCGTTCCACTAATTATTAGAGTGGAGATAAGATGGCTCAATAGGTTGTTGCTCAATTCGGAGAGCCAATACTGAGGCTTTATTTCCAAAAGCAAACCTGTCCAAAAATCCGAGTGATACTGCTCGTCTGTAATTCCATCGCTAAGGAACTCCTTGGCATATTGCCCAATTGTGACAAACCACTGGAGCGAGTTTAACCAGTAATGGTGAGGACTCTTTAAAAAAAATTATTAGAGTAGTTACCAGCACGCCATTGATAAAACATAGGTAGCCAGTAACATCTAAATTTTTTAATGGCAAGATTGTTTCCATATGAAGAAAAATTCATGAAAAATTCGTAGCACAGTGGTGTGAGCCAGTTGCCGCTCGA